CAGCATTACTGTGTTCCGGTTTTGAAGGGTAAGGGTGCTGGTGAAATTACAGGCACATGGGACTTGTCAATTTATGTGTCAGGGTGACGGGCGCAGTGGTAGTGCCCCTCAAATCCTTAAAGCAACTTAAAGCTCTGAGTGGCACTGTAACTGTTAAGGACAAGCGTGTAGCTTACCATCAAGCGCACGACTTGTACGTCCCTTCAATAGATGTCATAAAAAAATTAATCATAATTAGACATCCAAAATGTAAACAAAAAATGATGAATCATGAAATGTCATTGTCAAAGTGGGAACGCAGGTGTAATAAAATTTTAACAAAATATAAGAAAGGGAGGAGGTTCTCAATTTTAATTATCTATTACAAAATATTGACAACAAGTAAAAACTTTAGGACAACACACAATAATTTTACAAACGCGTCACGAAGACAAGAAAATATCGAGTTCCAGACACGAAGCTCAAATAACATTTATGACACGACAAAATGGCGGCACAAAAAATGTTTTGATCCCGATTGTGTTACCAGTGTCATAAAATTATTTACGACCTTAAACATAGTCTTTTATTATAATTATTTTGTAGGACGAAATTAAGTCAAAATATATATTTCAAAATGTGAATTGTTCGAAGTTACAACTTGAAAATTGTTTTAACGTTTATTATCGTCAAAAATAGTAAACTGTATTATGATTAGTATTTTTTGCTCGGTTATCCGTTTTATTTACATCTAATTATGATTCATATTAAAGACAGTCAACTTTCAGAAACCGAATATCTACGGAACGCGCCCCCTCTCGTTTAACGACAACTCCGCTAATATACGATCCTGCAATTACCTCTCTCGGCAAACATTCCCCGTTTATGTCCCGCCAAAATGAAACCTTGTATATTTAAGAGTTGTTACACACATAAAGCTTAATAGCCATATTCGTATGTTTACTCACATTAACAACTTCCGAGTTTAATGATCTAACGCCTAATATTGGAATTATATAACTTATTTTGTGCTTGAAAAGCGACACCGTTTTACGATTTGAGTATCTACATTGTTAGGGGCAAATAATAATTATTGTATTCAATATTTACCGATAAGATTTTATTATGAAGTACGCTACTAAATGCAATAGATAATTAATTTGATAGCTTTAAGAATTACTTAGTTTTATAGGGCTTAGACATGTCGTTTCGATCGACTAATTTTTTTCATAATAACTTATTCTAATAATTTATTTTATTATAATATTTTTATAAATAAAACCGACTTCAAAAGTTTGTGAAATTAGATCTATTTGGAAAGTGTCATTAAAATCGGTTAATGTAAAGTGGATGAAATCCAATAAACTGGATTCATCCCCTAATTTGCCACCCTTAGAAGTGGAATACTTTGTAGCCCCGTTGCAACAAAACAAGGATCAGCGAAATCGGTTTACAAATTCCGGAGTAATCGCGTAACATAGACACAAAAAAAAATAGCCAGATTGAGAACCTCCTCCTTTTTGTGAAGTCGGCTAAAAATAAAAGTTTAAATTTGAAACATAGTCTCTTCGAAATTCGTTTCAAATTTGTAAATTGATATTCTGTTCCACAAAATCGAATTTTAAAGTATTTATTCACTATAGCTCTTCAAATGCAACTAATATAGTTAAGTAAATTCTTAAGCTTTACTGTATAAGTTATTAAGAAACCAGTTAACAAACAGCTATGATTCATAGTATCATATCTTAATAGTGGTGTTATAAACATGTGCTTCTACTTCCGCTACTACGGAAGTTCCGCACACTTTTTCACGTGTTTCCGTTTTTCCTTCTGCAACTTTTATGTCGGAACTTTAATCGGAAGTTTACAGCGTTCACGATGGATGTGCCGCGCGTGCGGATTGCTTGACGGTGAGGCGCGCGTTTTTTAACTTTTTTTATTTAAGCAATTTTGTATTGTGTAAAATGCAATTATGAAACAAGAGCAAGTGTTAGGAACTATTTCGTTGATATCTTCATAGTATTGTTCCGTTTAGATTTACTTTTGGCATCGGTTTCCGTTTCTGTTTCCGTTATGACACTTCCGTTGCATCTACGTCATAATATGTTTGTGACGATACATACTGCACATAAGAAAATTATTAATAGTAAAAGAAAACTACAAATTGCTCCTTGGTAAATGAAGACGTAGATGAAAATAGATAGGTCTTGATTTGTGACATTATTTTTTTTGTGACGGTGTAGTCAACGATGTAGCATGCAGACCAAAATAATGCATATTTACTCTCGCCTAGATAATGTAAATGATAACTTTTAATTTAAAACTGACATTGCTTAATAATTTTGAATGTTGATTCTATCATAATCATTTTTTCGTTTCTAAATTAAATACAACGTCACTATACTATTATTTCATTTCTCATCTCAAATAAAAAGATGTATAACAGGTACTCATTTTGAAATAAAATTTTAAGCTTTTATTTGTTTATGGCACACACCAACAGTTACTACAATATTTAATGTAGGTATTAATACATTTCAAAAACTTAGTCTAATTGCGTAACTAATTATAGATGAGCACCTCAAGCAAGAAAAAATTTTTAAATAGAGTTGAAAAAGTATCAAAAATAATTTTAAAACTAATAAAAAAGAAATAATTTAGGAAGAATTTTTTCAGATGCTAAATAATAAAAAATGCTATGTGCCCGAATCAAGAAAGAATTTTGTTTCTGAAACCTAGCAGTGAGTGAACGAAAATATCCGCCTGTTTGAAGCAGTCATTATATAAACTAGACGTACGAGCTATGGGGCAATTGAAACCTAATACGACGGGTGGGTGAAAAAGCCTTTTGTGAAATCTCCGAAGCCTGGCGGAAATCTTAAAAATCTTAAAGTTTAAATTATCAAGCTGTTGAGGACAGTCAAACTTATTGTGAATATACTTTTATTGAAAATAGACTACAGTAGTCATTCGCCAATATAAACAAACTCTGCTCAAACAAAATAAAAAAAACCTGCTCATTCACACCTTGAATGTAAAAAAGAATACAAAATACGACATATAGGTAAGTAAGTATATTTTTCAAGAAGTTACTTTTTTGGCTGTTAATCGTTAGAGCAAATTTTTTTTCGAGATTTTGAAACATCGATGTTGCAAACCCTAGAGCTCACGATTCGTAGGTCAAATACACAATCGAGCCAATGTTTTCGAGCAATTAATGTTCGAACTAATGGCATTCTATCTCAAGTAGGGAACCCCTTTAAAAAGCCTAAGTTATAGCGTTCAGGGAATAAGTCTGCCGACAGGTAATTAAAATACGCGCTTCCGACTATTATGCAATATGCAGTCTCAAAGCGTAACTTTTTGGACGGAATCATTTTCAAATAAAATTAATGACATTTCTGCTTTAGAACACTCAAGTTTAGTAGTTGAATTCTCTATCTAAAGTATACACAATTTAAGCATATACCGTAAACAGTCAGCATCCTTGACCGGCAAAGTTATAAGGCCGAACCGCGCCTAGCACGACCTCGCCGCACTAACTCATCTACTATGCACAACTGCATTCAACACGCAAGGCTGTTCGCTGCAACTAGACGCTTTTCAAACAACTTCTAATTACGTATTTACCTCCTGTTAGTATCTGAGTCATAGACAGTAAAATTGCTGTGCTAAATTTTGTAATACTTAACCTACCGTTACTTTGGTGGATTTTGCAAGGGATAGTGACTAAAGCTCCGAAAAATATATTAAAAATGAGCTTATTCAAAACTAAGCTACCGAAAACTCTTGTGCAAATAAAAATAAGGAAAAAACACAAAAATCTGATAAATCTTACTGACAATACTACTGTTTTATTGCCCTGAAAACTATTGTTAGCCATTTTTATCGCAAATCACCTATTTATACATTTAAAAGAGAACATCTGATTCGGAGGGTGCTGGTTCGTATCTTGCCGGATTGACTGAATTCTTCTTAAAGTATCTTTGTTATAATAATTGGACGTAGTTAAGCAAAAAGGATCCATTCCACAAAATTATCAAATAATGAGTTATATGTACTAAACTGTTCCTAAAGTCTAATCTCTTAGATCAGCAAAAAATCCAACATATAAACATAAATAAATATCTCTGGAGTTACATGACATTATAAGTTTTGAAAATAAAACAAGAGTGAGAATCACTTTTAAACTTCAAACTGCCATATCTCGAAAGTCAGTGGATGTGGATTGGATCCTTTTTGTTTAACTACGTCCAATTATGTATGATTAATTTTGTCGATATATTCCGTGTTTGTTTTTCAGTAACTTATATGAGTTAATATATCGCAGCTTAGAATTACAGTTAGCTTAGTTTGCTCCAATTTTATGTGTTTTACGGAACCATTATTATTCCCTTTTGCCAATTACAGGATCAAAAACATAACATCGCTTAGTAAACACTTCCATCCTCTAAGAGCAAAGATCACAATACGTCAAAATAAAACATGAAAATCAATAAAATTGTAAAGCCAACACACATACAATTATTTATTATACATAAACAGAGCGCCTATTACTAAGAAAAAACTGAAAAAATCTTTTTTTTAATATAATATAACGTGTCGGGACGAACAAGTCACGCGCCTGGTGGTAAGCTACAAGCCTGTTCATAACAATTGCAGTGACACTCAGAGCTTTAAATTGTTTAGATCTGGGGCGCACTGTCACTGCGCCCGTCACCCTGAGACATAGTTGACAAGTCCCATGTGTCTGTAATTTCACCAGCACCGTTACCGTTCAAAACTGGAACACAGTAATTAATCGGAATGACATAAGCGGTATTGTTATTAAACGACGATAAATATACAGTATTGAAACAAACATATCATAAAACAAATCCAGCATAAACTTTTATTATATTTTAGTTTGATGAGAAATGAGTGGATGATAAAGAAAAATATCAAAATCGACTAATTTTGTTCATAGAATCTTATCCTGAAAAGTGGTCAATTTGCATATGTATAAGTATATGTATTTTTAGGCTGTTCCTGAGACAGTAAGAGAGCTAAAGATTTCTCTATGGGGCGCCGAGCAAACTGGCGGTGCTGCCAATTTGACTGGAGCCCTTACAACGGCGTTCGAAATTCTACATCGAGTACGTACTATATTTGAATATTCTGTTCTAAATTCTTAAGGCGCCTTCAAATTAGACGCTCATAGAAGCGCTGCAGGCGCGCCACTGTCGTTACGCGCACGCCACTTTTGCAGTCACAATTAGTGACTGCAAAAGTGGCGATTCGAACTAAAAATTACTGAAGCGCTACAGAAGCGCGGCGGCGTCTGATTTGAAGACGCTCTTAGTCTGTGTTTTTGAAATGTAATGGTTGTTTTCACAAAAGTATCTTCTTATTTGCGATTTATCCTACATTCTGTTTTATTTATTTATTTATTTATTTATTTATTGAGGAATGACAAACAATTTTTACATGCGCAAGCAATACACAATTTAGAATTTTGACAAAAATCTTGTTTTTTAGTACAACCGCACGGGTCAAGGTTGCCAGTGTAACCAAGCCATAGCAGTAGTGGGCGCAGGCGGTGGCGCCGGTGGAGTCAAGAGCGTATTCCGCAATTGGAACTGGCCGCACATGCCCGTGCGCATCTTCACTTATCGAGTAGGGGGAGACGCTACAGCTGGACATAATTTAAAGGATATGGCGTGCACTAATAAAGGTGAGAAAATACGGCTTTTAAAAATTCTTTAATTTATATAACATCACAGAATGTTTTGATATAATCTAATGTCCACGTGAAACTATACAACGAACTGACTTGATATCTTAATGCTTAGCAAAAAGGTATAAGGTCAATAAAATGAAAAAATTAGCAGCCAATAATTTATCAGCATTTTTCGTCTCGCGTGTGAAGCATAGTTATATTTCAACTTTGTTTTTAATTTATTTTTTTAGTACTACTAACATAGTTTTAAGAATCACACTGTTTTAACTAAACTGGACTGTTTATTGTCTGACAAATACAGCGAATTATTATTATTAATTATACCTTTTTTTTTAACCAACTTCAAAACATTGCTTATCCGATTTCGCTGTGTTCGTTACGGCGGCCTGCGCAACGACAATTAACATGCATATAAAATTTTCGTCAAAACGAATCATATGAGCCTAAGCACATGGTAACTACTGTACACTATTCAAGAGTTCCTCTCATTCATTTCCATTATCAGATCAGCTCTAGGTTACCATAAAATTTTTCTGAAATCGGTTAATGGAAAGTGGATGGCATTCGATAAAGCGTATTCGTTCCTATTTTGCCACCTTTAGAAGAAGCATATTTTCTTCAAGTTTGAATGGGACCAGTGATGTACCCCCTTGTCCAAGAAATAAAGAATCATCGAAATCTGTTCACAAATGTCGAAATAATCGCCTAACATACACATAAAATATAGTCGAATTGTGAACCTTCTCCTTTATAAATGTCAGTTAAATAGTTAATTTCATAATTTTAACGGCACCACCTGTACAAAGTGCTCAAAACCTGATAATATTTTCAGGATTCTACGTGACAATAAACGAACACTCTGAAATCCGATCAAAGGTGCTACATTTCGTGGAGGTGCTTGCGCGACCAATGGTCATGTACCAGACTATGCATCCAGTGCACTGGAGTCCTGTTTACGTCGGCGGCAGGGTACGTTAAACTTCCGAAACAGCGTATTCCCTGTGGACAAGATTGTAGCAGCTTTACTGAAATAGTTAACCTGCCTGTTAGACGTGACTATAATAAGCGTATTTTCTTTACGGGGAGACAGTCCTAGGCTAAAAATCTTTGGATATCTTTAATAAATATTGTTGACCTGTGTGTACGTCTCCGTATATTCTAAAAAATATTCTGAATTTATTGTAATAAAGATAATACCTCTAGCAATGCCGTGCTGTTCTATTCGGTGGTGTGGGAAAAATAGCAAAACATGTAATTACAAAACAAACGGAATACGGAATCACATTTCATCGGTAATTAAATATTAAATAATGTAATTTTGCAAATTTTCGTCCATTATAGCTCAATTTATATATATAATTAATAATATAGCAAAGCTCAAGTTAACTGGTCGCTTTAAAGTGAATCAGTTGACGACACCCGTCAATTGTTTCGAACTCGGACTAGCCAATCGGAGCGCAGTTGTCACAGTAATGATATGGCGAATAGTTTTGAAACAAATTAAATGACATTTCGTCTCTATTTCTGGTTATATACTCGATGATCTCACCTGATATAAAGTGACGTTGAGGTCGACGATAGAGCAGGCACACCTAAATAATGCCTATTCACTTTCGCGTTAAAAAGGCCCAATGTATTCCGTTCAGGGAACAAGTCTGCAAGCAGGGAATTCCACTCCGTAGCCGTTCGCCATATAAATGTGGCAACGATTTTCGCGCGAATCGTTTGACTGTCCACATCTGTTTGTTCTAACCGATATTTTGTGCGTGTTTGTTTAGCGTGAATAAAAGAAATTAATTTAAAAAATTTAGAAATACAAAACTGATTCTTAAAGCAATCTCAAATTACAGAGTAGCAGTTTGGCAGACGATGGGATGGGTCAACTGATGACTTCTGTCACCGTACCTATCTTCGATAGGAGAAACCATACTGTAAGTTCTTTAATTCCTATCTTTGACATTTATTTTATCTTGACTCTAAAGGGTACAACTTTATTCAGTTGTGCCTTTTTTGTGTTATTTATTAAGTAAGCATTAATTATTAAACGAAGTTACCTGTAAGTGAAGTTCGATTATAATTATACGAAGGTATTCGTCCGAAGAGATTAGCATAGTATGCGATAGTATATACAAGTACTATGCTAATCTCAAAGTTCGAATACGAGTATAATTGTAATTTAACTGCGTAATAAGGGCACAGATCCTTATGTTACTAAGTAAAATCTTTTAATATTAGTGCTTTTATTAATAATTCATTCTGTTTATAGATGTCACTTGTGCCTTTAGAGCTTACTGTACTACAAAAAATTAGGTAGATTACCCTTTTTTCCCGACTCCGAATATGTAGGTATATAATATAACCAGTTTCGATCAATTATGTTATGTAACTGCCTCTGTGGCCGAACGGTTACCATGCTGGACTGCCACGCAGATGTCCAGGATTCGATTCCCGGGCCAAGAGAAAAATTTGTATGGCCTACATTTATTTGTCTCGTGAGTTTGGGTGTAATTTGTGGTTGTCTATGTGTGTGTCCATGGCACCCGCTACACAGGGTTTCCCTAGTGCGAGGCTACGAATGTGTGCGCGTGTGTGTGTGTGTATGTGTCTGTGTGTGTGTGTTATGCCTTTTTTCTGTCTGATGGCAGTGTTGAGAAAATACAATACGTTCGTGTACACTAAGAAACTTTTAGTAACACATTTATTTCTTCGCAGCAAAGAGAAGCCAACCTCTTAGGCGTAGTTGGTACTGATGTTCCTGTCGATCAAATAAAGAAGCTCGTACCACCATATAAGGTAAAAATTATATATTAACTCATTACAGTAGCAAAAGCGATCCTAGCCAACGAAAATGCCAAATTATTTTTTTTCTTAATTTTTACACATTCACGTCTATGATTCCACCTGGAACCGCAAATTGGCTTCCACGATAAGTCCACGTATACCTATGGAGCCGCAACTACACACCACTTCAATGTCAAATATTTTTATTGATCTCGTAGATCAAAGTCCTGAATTTTTTAAACTTGTGAATTGGGTAGTCTTTTGTAGGCGGTGCAATTTTTCAAAAAGAACTAAATAATTTTGATATATTATATATTAAAAAAATATACATATGTCAGAGTAAAAGACAAAACCAACACTATTTCACACAAATTCTGGTGGAATTTCGGCCTTTGTATCGGAGACTGTGAACGTGTTAAAGGTTGTCTTTTGTTCACAGTTAGGCGTAAACGGCTATTCGTTCATGGTGGATAACAACGGGCACGTTTTATATCATCCGGACTTGAGACCACTGGTAAGATATATATTATATATAACGTAGCTTCAAATTCGTTATAAATAGCGACGATATTAATGTCGCTAATTTAAATAACATTTACATAAATATTAATGAAATATTCTTTTATTTCAGCATACCAACGAGGAGGTAAGATTTAGTATAGTCAAATAATGAACTATATATAACGCCAGATTTCTTAGACAGTCCATAATAGAAATTAATATTATCTAAGTCTCTTGATTAGGCCTTCCCTGTCTGTTCAAACGTTGATGTCTTTGTATATTTATGTCAATAACTTTATTTGTCACGAAAATGTATTAGTAAATAATGAAGTCGGCGTAGTCCTAGTAAGAAAGGTTGACCTTTACATCTAATTCTGTGATTGTGAAATACAAAGATCAAACACACAGAAAAAAATTTTTTTTCATCGACCCGGTGGAACTTGAACCCACGTCCATACTGCACCGTAGCATTGCTCTTTACCAACTGAGCTACGGGTCTTTACATCTGTCATCTGACTCCCATCTCACCTGAAGGAAAGTGACGATGAAGTCGACGATGGAGCATGCACACCTAAATAATACCTATTCACTATCACCATGAAAAGTTAAATAAAACGAATTTTTATACATCTTAGTTTAATGAAACTTGTTTTTTTGGATCCAAATCGCATATATGCAAAATAAAGATTTACGTGGATAAATTATATTTTGCTATTTGCGGATTTCGAACGTCGTATTGTACGTCTGGCCGCACCCTGAGCAACAATCGGCGAGTACTTTCCTGGTGAAATTACAGGCACATGGGACTTGTCAACTTATGTCTCAGGGTGACGGGCGTAGTGGCAGTGCCCCTCAGATCTTTGTGATTTAAAGCTCTTAGTGGTACTCGTTTGTCCCGTCACTTGATATTATAAAAAAAATAAGCCTTACACCAATTGGCTAATAATAATAATAAGGAAGTTTAACGTATGAAATAGTAACTTTGTTTTTAAAAAACAATACCATTTATCTAGTTTTTAAGCTTTTGCTATTGTTATACAATGATAATGAAGCTACAAGGAGCCCAAAACGTTGGTTTGGTTTTGAGAAAACGAGTGTATGCGATTTAGATTCGAAAGAATACTTTTATTTAAAATATAGTTACAACAATTATTCATTTTGACGACCTCCTTGATCGAGTGGCTTGCACACCGGTTTTCATGGTGTCGCCATCTCTGAGGTCCCGGGTTCGATCCCCGCTCGGCTCACAGTAGCAACTAACTTTTTTATATTATCTCGGGTCTAGGTGTTTGTGGTATCACTTTTGTTTCCGATTACCATAACACGAGTGCTTTAGCTACTTACTTTGGGATCAGAACAACGTATGTGATGTTTGTGACTTTATTTTTAATAGAGGTTAATTAGTTTTAAAAATAAAATTCTTTAAGTTTTATTTTTAATTTCAGTACACAGAAACACTGCGTCCATTATACTCAAGTGTGGACGTCACAGACGTGGAGCTCCTCGTCGATTCCGATGAGAACTCAAGAGTCAATCTCACTGGGTTATTGCTGGATGTAAGTTTGCACTACACAACCGGTAGTGTAGTTCTGGACGTTGAATGAAAATTGCCAGATGAAGTATAATTCCGTAATAAATAAGCCGTGGTAGTAGGCTACCATAGTACCGTCTCTGAAGCAGAGGCAATTGGTTGGTTCGAATCCGGGGTCGCGCCTTTGAGTTTCTCGAAATTTACCATGAGCTTTTCGATGAAGGCAAACACGATGAAAATTCAAAAAAGGTTGTTTTCCGAGTGTTGTAACCCTCGGAAAACGTGTTAAGTCCGCAACCCGCAATGGGCCAGTTTGGCGGAGTATAGCCTAAACCAGGGCTTCTTAACCTGTGGTCTATGGACTCCTAAGGGGTCCGTGTAATCAACGTCAGCGGCCATGGCGAGCCTGCCTAACATAATGCATTAATATAAAAATTGGTATACAATATGTTGCGAGCAAATCGGTAACGTGCTGCGTGACTTTTTGAATTTTCGCGCGGCCACCATTATTAGAGCGAGCAAGACGCACGTCAATGCAACCCACGAACCTTTCTTCCTCATCTTTTCGGAAAGGGTCCGCGGGCTCATGACTAGAAAAAGGTTAAGAAATTTTTGGCCTAAACCCTCGCCTGAGAAGAGACTCGTATAAATGGGTTGATGATGATGCATAATTCCGTTTCAAATACTATTTGCCTCGTAAACGTCTAATTGAAAGACAGTAGAAGTTGATTTAACTTTGGCCCTTGATGAAGATGCCTGTTGATAAAACACTTTTTTAAGTTATAAATAAGCTACTAAATTCATTATTCTTGCATTTTCAGCTGCGACATGATATGATCGAGCAACGGGAAGGCGAAACAGAAATTGCTGTCAAAGTTCAGTATGACAATATGAGACGAGTCGCCACTAGACGTCAAAGGTGATAAACATTTATCGTTAATTTCTAATTATTAATGAACCAATAAATAATATAGATTAAAATAATAAAATACATTGCATATACGGGAATTTAAACAAAGTATTCATAAACATGCGAGCTGTTAGAACGATCTTGAGCCTATCTATTTTAACTACCTCCGTGGCCGAACGGTCACCATGCTGGGCTGCCACGCAGAAGTCCCGGGTTCAACTCCCGGGCCGGGAAAAATATTTGTATGGCCTACATTTATTTCTCTCGTTAGTTTGGGTATAGTTTGTGGTTGTCTATGTATGTGTCCAAATCCATGGCACCCGCGATACAAGGTGTTCCTACTGCAGTGCTGTGAGTGTGTGCGTTATTTATTAGTTAGTTATTATTAAATTACCTCAAACAAAAATAACAAATTTACGTTTTCGCGATTGCTTCAAATGAAAAAAAATTTTTTCGGATCTAAATCGCGAATATTTGTTTTTTATTTTTAATCAATAAAAAACAATATATTGTTGTGAAAATGAACAGAAAATACTTTCCTTTTCTTTTCGTTTTGAGTTTTTTTATTTTATTTATCAGGATACTCACAAATTACGAACCTATTATGTATTAATTCCTAGATTATGTTCATTGTCTGTGGCTGAGTTCCATTGGTACAAAGTAGAATCAAACTTAATTTGTGTGGATCGCGCTCGCAGGGTATACGTGATACGTCATAAGGTCTTCTTATAAAAAGAATCGCATACTTAAGTTTCTCTTAAAACATTTGCATTTATTTTCCAGGTATTTCTACAGTCCTGTTGATGGGACGCCATATTCACTAGCGGTAGTTCTCCCTGATGGCTACGGCATGTACGAACTACAGGCTGAGCAGGAAGTCAAACATAGCACTGTTAATGGTTTGTATTTGCTCAAAAACAAAATCATATAATTCTGCCCTTTTCCCAATGGGATAGGTTAGCCTCTCTGTGGCTACAACACTGACACACGTCAGTGTTCCTCGTCAACAAGCATCAATGATTTAATACACGCTTGTCAGTTAAGGGTTCTGTTGACCTGGTCTTTGTCTAGGATGTTCTCAATTTGGTCGTAGTAAATTCGCGTTGAACGGCCCTTACAAACTTACCCACTCCCACTAGCCCAATAAATCTGTTTTGTCAATTTTGTTTCATTGTTTTTGTGTGCAATTTGTGTAAACAATCTTAAGTGCTCAGTAGATAATTAAACTAAAACGTATTTAATATTATAATCTAATTTCGATTTTCTACGCAGTGACGGAATTCTTCAAAGGAGAAAACTGGAAAGTTCACCCAGACTGGTAAGACTTACTTAACAATAAATGGGTCAATCAACTTCTTTACCGAAACTATGGGAAATGTATTTTTTTAACAATGGCACTGGGTAATTCCACTCGAAATTAATGTTAGAATTGCCGTTATGCTTATGAATTATTTTTGAAACTATTCATGAGAAATTTCAACTTTTCCCTGTACCTGCTATGTCTTACATTGGCGTAACGTATTGATTTTTTTATAAGCTGCTTCGTTCATAACCAAATAGATGATCAGTCTTCAATAAATTATTTGCCATTACGGAATACTATTTGAAGGTTTATCTCTGATGTTACCAACCACATTACAGACTATATATATACCATGAAAATGGAATACGTTAACATTTGTAGAGGTCCGATTTAGACTCAAACAAACAAATCCTCGAACAACAAATCGTATACCCGTTATTTTAGTTATTATACATATATGTCCTGTATTTAGATCTGCAGGAAGAAATTTCTTTTAGAAATAAGCAGAACCTTTTGTTTGTATTTGCCTTTTATTAATTGCGATTTGTGTGTTTTTCCTATGCAATAAACTATTAAATACAATAAATAAATCGAAGGTCTATTATAAATTACAAACATTTTAACCAATTTTATTTAAAAATTCATACTCGGCCGAGTTTTGATAAACAGTTGATTTACCAAAATACGTCATGAAGGCTTCGTATAAAAAGAGTCAATCATATTATGTATCAAATTCCCAGGGTATACTGCGAATACGCGTCGACATCAGAACAAACGTTTAATTCTCCTGAAGAGCAGTTACTCCATTTTCTATCAAGAGCCGGCCGACCTGGCTGGAAGTGGATGTCCCTGCGACCTAGGGCTCTGATGCTGCACAACGCACATAAGAAGCAGGAGCGTGACTCCTATTATTGTAAGATTATACTACCATATTTATTTTTAATTAAGGTTGTGTAGGCAGGAAGGAAGCAGAAAAGGTACTTCGGGGCTGTCACTAAGTCGAAGGCCTCTAACTACCCAACTGAGGGACAGGCGCATTTACGTCCTATACATTAGTCATATACTCAACCTCCGCTATTTAACTGCCTCAGTGGCCGAACGGTTACCTTGCCGGACTGCCACGCAGGCCTAGGTTCAATTCCCGGGCTGGAAGAAATATTTGTATGGCCTACATTTATTTCTCTCGGGAGTTTGGGTGTAATTTGTGGTTGTCTATGTGTCCATGGCATCCGTGACACAGGGTTTCCCTAGTGCGGGGCTATGCAAAGCGTTAAAAAAACCATGGATTTACGGTCTCAATATAGCCCTGCCAAATATTAGGTAAACAAATTTGTACGCATATTTTTTTTTACGATAACACGTGACGAGACGAACAAATCGTGCTCCTAGTAGTAAGCGACACACCTGTCCACAGCAGTTGCAGTGCAAAGATCTGAGGGGCACTGCCACTGCGCCCGTCACCCTGAGACATAAGTAGACAAGTCTGATATGCCTGTAATTTCACCAGCACCCTTACTCTGCAAAATTGGAACGCAATAACTGCTGACATTACTGCTTGGCGGCAGAAATAGGTAAGGTGGCAGAACTACCCTGGACGAACTCTTTCACAAGGAGCTCTACTGTTACTAAAAGGCATATGGGACTTGTCAACTTATGTCTCTGGGTGAAGGGCGCAGTGGCAATAGTGGCAGTGGCTTAGATCTTTGCGATCTAAAGCTCTGACAGGCTCTGACGTCCCGTCACTTGATATCATAAAAAAGGGAATACAATATATTGCATTGGGATTAAGCTAACAAAATATTGTCTAATTTCAGGTGACAAAACCTTAGTGCAATCACTAATAAGGGACGCAATGGTAATTAAAGAACTGGACGCTCACATTGGACATGCAAGCCACCACAACCAGTAAGTATTATTTGCAATTATAGCATGACTTATGCACTAATTAAAAACTAATTTTACTTAACGAGAAGACCAAAGCGTCCAAGAATGTTAATTTATCGAACGAAACACAAATAAACGCGCGAAGTTTGATTAAAAAACACAAAGCGATCGTTATCGGTCTATCCTCTTGTGTGTATTTTGTTTTAACGCTGTTTACGAAAATGAACAAAATAGCGAGAAAATTTCGTACTCGGATAATTTCCAGCTTTTTATTATATGCCAGATTGGTCATGGACACGAAATTTCAAATGTCTATTATTGGTAGCAGAGACCGAATGAAGTAACCGTAATAGGTGTTTCAACGCGTGCAAAAACGAACACAAAATACAAGCGAGTAAGATACATTTTACAGTGTTGTAATCGGTAAATAATTTCAATAACGGTAACCGAACAAAAACACATTGTAAATTCTATTGTATCTGCATGCATTTAAGATCAATTATGCACGCACGTAAACGTTTACATCTTCCTGTCCGTGCTAGACAGATACTACGCGTAGGCAGGAGGCTCGACTATCAGACAATATTTTTTAGCTCACAATAAGTCTTTGTTGCTTTCAATTGCATGTTAAATTTATTTCGATCACTAACTTTTATGTGTTTGTCACTAAATAGCCCGATAGCGACATTAATGGCACTACTGACAAGGTAACGTAATAAGAAATTAAGGTTGAAATTGTAGATTCGCTCGATTATATTTGAGAATCATTCAGAAATCATCTAAGAAAATATTACAGGCAGATTCGGTTTTTGTGAAGTACATTTCATCATTATAGAAAAAAAAAACATTACAGTCACAATAATATACAGCTAACGTCATTTAATCACGTTTTTGGTCAAGGTTTTATTTTGATCGCCAAACAATTACGTTTTGTCATACGACTTCCGTTTAATAACTATGAATTGCTAAATGATGACATAGTATCACATTTTGATATTTTATTTTAGTAATGGAGTGGTAGAGAACTATGCTTATGTCTATAAAACATTCATTCAAGGACAGTATAGGGTATAGTGATGCAGAGAAATATTTAAATAATATATTTATATAAAAAAAATATACATAGTTCTCGACTGCTTCATTTTTGTTTTACAAAATTATAATATGCTACAAGGACAAGGTAAGTTTGTTTCGCAAAAACTTTGCAGCTGCACAAGGATTTTTTCAGCTCTCCAGGATTATAATAACATATTTATTTATAATATCTTTTAATTAGATTTACTTTTAATTTTACGACATCGGTAAATAAACTTTTATTACACTTTATAATAATAATGTAACAATGAAAACCATGTCAATTATCACGTCCCCAAGTCTGCTAATAATCTCAAAAGTGTGAGTTAATGGCAGGTTTTTGTACGTTTGGTATTTTGCTAAATGTTAAAAGTAGTAGCTTGTCAGTGTCCAATCATGGAGCTAATATTCAACTACACCAAGCTACACCAAGTGACCGGACGAACAAGTCGTGCGTCTGGTGTTAAGCGACACGCCTGTATAACAGATCTGAGAAGCACTGCCACTGCGCCCGTCCCCCTGAGACGTAAGTTGGCAAGTCCCATGTGCCTGTAATTTCACCAGCACCCTTACCCTTCGAAAACGGAACGCAGCAATGTTCGCATTACCGCTTGGCGGTGGAAATAGGTATGGTGAACTTTTTCACAAAAAGTTCTACTGCTAACGAATTCTGTTCTTCAATGGCGAGCCGATGGCGTAGTCTACTAATTATTTGAATTCTTTCAAATAGTTTGAGTGGCAGTAGAGCTCCTTGTGAAAGAGTTAATCCAGTGTACTACTGCCTCTTTACCTATTTCTGCCGCTAAGCAGTAATGTCAGCATTAAAGGCACATGGGACTTGTCAACTTATGTCTCAGGGTGACGTGCGCAGTGGCAGTGCCCCCAGATCTTTGCGATTTAAAGCTCTAAGTGGCACTGCAACTGTTATGAATAGGAGTGTAGCTTACCATCAGGCGAACGACTTGCTAGTCCCGTCACTTAATATTATAAAAAAAAGTTTTTACATAGAATTTAAGTGCTTATAATGTCGAGTTTTATTTATAAAAAAAATACATTTACTTTATTTTACAATAAATGATATAAAAATTAAATTACTTAATATGCAAAGTAAATTACATGGTAGTTTTAGTAATGCAGCGTCAATCGTTAGGGATTGAATGCTTTCACCCACATTCCATTGGCACTCTGTTGAGACTCAATTGCCATTACAACTAGGCTTTAGAAGAAAATAAATATTATCATAATTACTATATAATCTCAAAGGAATTACAATGATGATCAATGCTTTCAAGAAAATTTGCAGACTCGGAGCCCTAATCTCAAACCTACTATAAGTACCACAACAACATAATTCACCCGGAACACCCAGACCAGAACCAATGTAGAAAAATTAATTTCCTAATTGGAATCGAATCCGGGGCCTCCCCTTGGTGCAACGGGCTGGTATCCGCAACTCGACGACAAAGCGCCTATTTTGCGTGTTTGGTACTTGGTACTTGGTGCAACGGGGGGGCCTCCCCTTGCAGCGCCCTTAGTGCAAACCGTTAGGCCATTGAGGTCCATCTACAATTATCTATTATCACTCTTCCCAATGACACGTCATCATAGGTAAATAAAAAAAAAAACAGTTTTAGTTAACTAAATATAAGCACCTCCACATCTCAAACATCTCCAACACCCAAAAAATGCCGTTTAATTTTCTTCTACGAGCCTTCGCGCCAGTACAAACAAATTTTTAACACAAAAACCTCTTTCACAGACAAGGGCGTTTCCACAAGTTTGTAGTGTCGATGTCATTCATCGCGACTCGCAGCGGCCTGCTCAGGTGGACTGACAACACCAACAGCACCAGGCCTACAGAGAGCTCAGAACCGTACGTACACTATACTAAAACTTAGAAGAATATTTTGGTTTCTCATGCAAAAAATTTGTTGCTCAATGGAAAAAAAAAAATATTTTGAAATTAAATAATTTTGGTGACTTTTAAATTATTGTTAAAATTAAATAAATTATGTATGTATTAAGTTTAAAAAAAAACAGAAAACTAAGCAACGAATTAGTTAAATTTATATAAATTACTATAAATTATTTTTATTTACGAAAGTTATTTCATTTATACATAAAAATCTTGAGCCTAAATATATTAAAGTATACGCATGTTAATTTTACATCAATTAGGTATTAACGTAAGAACAAACCTTACATAGGCGTAATTATAGAAAACTGCTTTTCCGTAAAAAAATTGTGAACTTTGTTATTTCATTATAAAACGTAAAAATTCGAAGCGTAAGTTGCAAAAGATAGTTTCTTGTTGCCGAAATGTAGAGATATAGACACAAGAGAAATTAATGAATTTAAAATTTTCTTTAAACACATATAAGTAATAAAATTCCTCATAAATAAAAGATATTATAATATTAAAGAAATTTTTAGTGAAATCTAATTTATTGTGTAATTATTAACTAATTTAAAATACTTTGATATCCTTCTCGGTTTATTTTATGTAAGTATGATTTGACCTCATCAATTTGCTGTGCCCTTACGGGGTGTCACCCGTACGTCTACAAGCCACTGTACTTAAAACACATAAGTGTGACAATGCAATAAATAAATAAGTGCCCAAAGGTGTCTATCTCTCTTGGCCGGAAACTCTCATTGGTGGCAGGGTTTTCTGTACAGAACCTGGGATACTTCATTAATAATATCTCATGCAACACTACTCATATGCGGTAACCAATAACCATTAGGACCGTCTGGCTGTTTTCCGACTTGAATACCATAAGTTACGTGACGTGGTTAAAACGAGACAGATGGCAATCTGGTACAATGATAGGCACTTCACAGGTGTTCAAAGAATTTTGTGGACGTTGGTAGATAATTAAAACATAGAAGTAAACGATTAAAGGCTCGGTAGCTAAGGATTGTAAAAACTTTTTAAAAATTACAGGCACTTCAGTGAAAAGTACGCCAGAGCATACGACTCGGAGTGGTATCGTCGGGCAGTGGAGCACCACTCAATCGAACCTGAGAGTTTCGTCTTCTCGGTACCCTTCAAAGATGCCTCTGAAGCCGAGGACTTGAGCGGAAAACCGCCACTAGTGCTGGCTACTCATGCTGTATTTGTGGAGTCGAGGGGCCACAGAGCACCAGCCGCAGTTGTTGGCCTGCATTTCCAACTGGATTCCCTCGCTAAACATTTTATTAACGTAACTTCTACGGTAAGTTATTGAAGCGCATGCCATTTCTCAAAAATGTCTCTAAAAGGTTACATTATTTGAAAGACAAAGAAAATCTAATTTAGCGTAATTAAATTATGTACTTACCTACTTAAGAAATGATATTTCACGGATCTAAATTATGGCCCGCTACAGGTCCCGTGATCAGTCAGCCGTGACCATGGGATTTGTAAACTGTCCGAAACGTTGTTAATTCGAAAAAACAAATACACGCGATTTTGATCCGAGAAATAGTTTCATTTCCTATGTGTAATAAAAGCTAAATACCTAAGAACTCGTTATGAATTTATTGTTCAAAAAATGAAAAAGAAACGCGAACGTTATCTAAGAATATTACACACAATTACTTATAATTAATTATTAAAACTGCCTCTGTGGCCGAAAGGTTACCATGCTGGTCAGGCACGCAGAGGTCTCGGGTTCGATTCCAGGGCCGGGAGAAATATTTATATGGCCCACATTCACTTCTCTCGTGAGTTTGGGCGTAATTTGTGGTTGTCTATTTGTATGTCCATGGCATCCGCGATACAGTTTCTTTAGTGCGAGGCTGTGTGCGTTAAAAAAACTGCATAAATTGTTCTGAAAATATATCAATATCCGCGAAAATTTATCTGGTAACGTGCGTTTGTCTAACCTTTAAACCTTTTTACAGTGCACTTTGGGCACAACTTGCAAGAAAACATGCGCAGGTGACGAATTAGACTGCTATATCCTCGACGACAACGGCTTTATCATCCTGTCAGAAGACGTTTCCCATACGGGAAGATTCTTTGGGCAAGTGGACGGCACTATTATGGACTCATTGGTGCAGGATAGGATTTACAAGAAAGTAACCGTTCATGACCATCAAGGCCGATGCCCGGACTCAAGAAACCCTTTTAGCGGTGATGGTCATAAGTTGGCGGTGAGTTCAAGAGAACATGTTCAGTAGTTTTTGAGTGGCCATTAAAGTTATAAACAGTACGCCTGGTGTGCACCAGTCTAAATATTCAAAAATTTGCATATAGGAAATTATTACAAATTACATTTGAAATTGTCAAAATGGTAACAAACACCACTGCTTCTTAGAACAACGAATAAGAAACTGTAGAGGTGACTGTCTTTTTAGTAGCAAGAGACCAGTAGAGCACTACTGGTCTCTTACAAACAAGGATCTCCTTGTGAAAGAGTTCGTCCAGGGAAGTTATGCCTTGTAACCTTAACTAGGCAAACGCGTCCCATCGTCGGTCACATCGTCGCTTAACATCAGGTGAGATTGTGGCCAAGCGTGTGTCTATTATATATTAAAAAAAAAAAAAACTAGCAAGTTTAACAGTAATGTGAGCATTACTGTGTTCCGGTTTTGAAGGGTAAGGGTGCTGGTGAAATTAAAGGCACACGGGACTTACTTATGTCTCAGGGTGACTGGTGCAGTGGAAGTGCCCCTCAGATCTTTGTGATTTAAAGCTCTATGTGGCTCTTTTTAGGCAATTGTTATGTTATGGATAGGTATCATAAAATTTTCTAAATTTTTATCACATAAACTTTCTTATTAAAACAACCGACCTCAAAAGTTCGTGGAATTATATCTATTTATATTATGCCAAGTTTTATTGAAATTGGTTACCGGAAAAGTGCGTGAAACCAGATTCATGACCTAGTTTACCACTCTTAAAGGGAATATTTTCTTTAGAGGCATCAATATTGAGATACCCTCTTTCCAACAAAGAAAATCATCTAAATCGGTTCGCCAATCGTGTAACATACACACAAAAAATCAATCGCATTGAGAACCTCATTTTTTTAAGTCGGTTAAAAAATATATATCATGTATGAAGAAGTGTTTTTGTTACATCCACAGCCAATAAAACCGCTGTCATGGGTAGGTGGCTATTTGACCAGCTTACTAGCTGTGTGGTTTCCACTGTGGGAATCTGTACGAGCGCGGCCACGTTCCTTCGCTGAGGAAGACAGTGGTAAGTTTACCAACCTACTCTTCTTAATCGCTTACTCACTGCTGAGTATCGTGACTCCACTTCACCTTGCCATTATCTGTCTCCATCGCCTGGTGGAGTGCGGCGCTGATAGGTAGCTCCAGTTGCTCGGAGATCAGATCCAATTACCGTTTGGGTCTAATGTCGCTAGGTCTCTTTCCTTCCACCTTCCCTGTCACAATCAAACGCTGCAAGTGATCAGCATCTCTATGCGTAACGTGACCAAAATAGCTTATCACACGTTGCATACAAATTGAAGACAGGCACTGAGCATTCTCCATTTTGAGTTCCTCAAGTACAGAGACATTGGTACGGTGGGCTGTCCACGATATTTTTAACGTTCGGTCATACAGTACACGGGGAGTTGGTTAGTTTACCAACCAATAAAATTATGCTTCCTTAGCCACCCTATTATTCAAGTTAATACTTTATGAATAGGCCTTTTAGACTTATTATTAACTGATATCGTGGTGGTGGACTCCTGTTAAAACTAGATTGTGTGCTTTAGCAGATTATGAAGACTACGAGAGCGAACAGGATAGTGACGACGTAGAGCGCGATCGAGGTACCTACGAGATTATCATCGATGGTTTGGGAACTACTGAGGACAAGAACCATGAGGACCCGGGGCTACCGATACCGGGACCAGCGCGAGAGCCACCCCGCGAGGCCGTAAGGTCAGCCGCAGTAAGACCATGCGACACCAGTGCGGAGTTATTCACATTACAATCGACACGCCTCACCGCAGCACAACCACTCAAAGGAAAGCTCACTAACTGCCATAATTCCGGATGCGAGAGGTAAGAACAATGAAATAAAATTGCTAAATTCTTAATTTAACACGTTCAGATCGGGGTCAAATACTATAATTTGTTCACTGACGGGGCAGGTTTTGATATGGTCACCGGCGGTACATCACTGCTAGTTTGTTATTGTGTCTTCAATTACTATTTACCTTAGTACTTCTCATCAACCTTGACTTATTTTACTTTCTTGCACAATATCAAACTTAAGACCTATTAAGAAAATTGGACTATTTATTTCACAGGGCGAGAACTTGAGCATTTTTTGGGAAGGTGGCGTGTATTTCGATGTATATACAGTCAAGTGTTGCGTAACCACCGGTGAACATTCCGCCTATTGGGCGAGTTGTTAGTGCTCCACCAGTGGTACACCCCGAGATGAACGTATTAAAATACTTTTCCAAGTAAATGATTCTCCGATAACCTCAGAAAAAGCAAGAACAGTCCGATAGAAAAGAAATGCCATTGCGCCCGTTGTCATTATTTACTTATTTCGCAGACCATTCAGCGTTCAGAAGATTCCCCATAGTAACTTGATCCTCCTGGTGGTGGACACCCTCTGCCCGTGCGGCTCCAAGCGTCTGGACGTGCGGCCGAGAGAAGCTCCCCCGCGCACCGCCTGCCGCCGTCACCCCGCGCACCCGCACCGTCGCAGACCTAGGCATTGCGTCTCTTACCACCCTGAGGTAAATTTCTCTCAACCCTTTAGTAACAGTACAGCTCCATGTGAAAGAGCTCATCCAGGGAGGTACTCTGCCCTCCTTGTCATAACTACAGCATTAGCATTTCGGTAACTTTCGAGATACTGACACTGAGTTTTTTTGTCACCTAAAAAAATGGCAATTACGCTGATTTTGCTTAACAATAAAACGGAAACTAAATAAGATATCAAAAAACTGGTTAGAGATGTTTGTAGGTTTCATTTCGCTAATCCCAGATGTGATAATAACTCTATTTCGCCAAAAATGTCGATTGCGTTAGATATGATAAGGAGAAATAAGGTTTCCAAAGGTAAGGGTGCTTGACAATTTATGTCTCAGAGTGACGGGAGCAGTGGCAGTGCTCCTCGGATCATTGTAATTTAAAGCTCTGAGTGGCCCTGCAACTGCCATGGACAGCCGTGTCGCTTACAACCAGGCGCACGATTTGTTCGTCCCGTGGACTTACGTCTCACTTGGACTTAAAGAAAGCCTAACTCATCTCTGTCAACAAAATATTGAACAGCGACGTATTCACTAGACAAACTTAAACAAACAGAAAGTTTAAAGAGATCAAAAACGAAGCTATTGTAATACCGGTTTATTTTAGAATAGAATAGAATAGAATAGAATACATTTATTACATAACACCACAACACAATAATAAACAGTAAACAATTAAAAGTGAAAAAAAAAATATTAAAATAAAACAGAACTAAATTAAAACTAAAACAAACTAAATTAAAACAAACAGAAAATGAATAGTTTGTTTTCGTGCAGCTGCACGTAGACGAAAACAAACCGGTATTACAATGGCAGTTGAAAAACTAATACCTGTTACAGGAAATCGAAATCCAGTCATGCGGTCGTGGCGAGCGCAAACGACCCGTCCTCGGCTTGCTGGCGGTGATGCTGTTGCAGCTATGGCTGTCTCTCGCATCGTGACTGTCGCAACATTAATTCTAAAACACCAACTTACATAGATTTTCCTCGGTCTCTTCTACGTCACATGTGAGGCTGGCTTTCTGTACTTAAACAACAACTACATCACTTCAGCTGTTGAAGAAGCTGCAAGGAAGCTTCATATGGGCGACGTTCGTCAGTGTTAAGCATCGTGTGTGTGAGAACAGTTAATGTGATGAGTGCAATAATATGTGAGGACAGAGAGTGGCGTCTGAGCCGCGACGTGACGTCACCGCAAGACGTCAACGCGCGCCTCTCGCGCCCCTTATGGGTATGATAATTTATACGTGTAATGCGAAGAGGTTAAAGTTTTGATCAATTTTTACCGACTGAAGTTTTGGTCCGACCAAATGAACTCTTGATCTTGTTTTGAGACAGGATTATCTATTCGAATTAGGATACGATAATAATTAAAAATACTTCCCCTCTCTGTTAAGTTGTCACTTTTCATATTGTAACTATATTGCAGTTGCATACAGCAAATAGGTAGGTAACAAATATCTTGTTAAATTTAAATTGAGGATTATCACAAACTTGGAGATCTTATAAATTATTATAGCTAATGTTAATAGGTATTGAAAGATAATTAATGTAAAATAATAACATCGTTTGAAACTGTTTTAGAAAAATTTACCTATGTTAAACCTAACTCGATTTATTTCTTGATTCAAATTAATCGCAAAGTTATTGACTAGTTGCATAGTTGATGTAAATAAGTGTTTTATTTGTAGGCAATTATTTTGCTGAATTTGTGTGTGCCTGTGTAACAATTGTTGTAAAAGTTCGTCGTTACATAGAGGCCGCATCGGGGTGTTTGGTGTTTTCGTATTAGAAATTCACTATGGCGTGCTTTGTATAATCGACGGCCTAACGTATTAGCACTCTAATGTCCTACACCAAACTAAGGCCAAAGTTTATTTCAATGGAATCGGTCAATTTGGCCTAAGAAATAAAGTGTTCAATTAATAGAGGGTCCAGCCCCCACACATGGCTACGATGCGTTCTCTAGCGACCTTCTCATTCGTCTAGTCGTTAGATTTTCTCGCCTAATCTTCAAATAACATTGTATCGGAGAAACTAATCAGTTTCCTATTTTTATTGTAAATATTTTACTAACTTAAATGGCCTACTACATTTTAAGATCGTGTGTTGCTAAAGTTTAATCATTCCAATTTGACTTCTAGCCGTAAAGATGTACTACAACATATCCCCTATCCATTTGACTCTTACGTACTATGATGTCGACTTAAACCCATTGACAATAACAATTGTGCTTCACCGCCTAGCGCTGAAACTATTCCAAGCCATATTTCTGTAGTCGATCGACATTTTATAGTAACCAATACTGCCGACGTTAGTTGAAAAGGCGCTTGTGACAACAACTCAAAACCGAGAAAATAATGTTTAAAGAAATTAAATATGAAATTTCAGCTTTAGGAATCTCTCTACATATGGAACAAATGGGAATAAAGATAAAAACATTAAACCTATTCCCATTAGTTCCATGCATGGAACTTTTAGTTCGCAATTGTTCCATGTGGAACTGAGTACATGGAACTACAGGGAATAAACCATTTTCTTTTGTGGTAACTTCATACCTTATCCACCTAGGAAAAAATAAAAATAGTGACAGATAAGCCTTTTTTTTCCACTAACGGCGGCAGAATAATGAATGATGAAAAAACAAAATGATGAATCCCATTGAATAAATCGGTCATCCGAGGACTAGTCCGAGGATGAACACTAGTTTCACTACCTAATTTCCGTAGCAATTTTTATTATTTAAGTAGTCGATGTTTTTATCGTGCAATATTATTTAATATTCGAGTATTGTATCGTGAAATATTATTTAATAATAACACGATAATATACTTGAATATTTAAATAATAAAAACTGCCACGGAAATTAGGTAGTGAACACCGAATGAACCGTGAATAAACGAAATTTGTTTTTTTCCGATTCACGATCGGAACCATTTCAGCGTTACACGATGGGGTCCATTTCACATAATTATTAATTATGGAATGGCGTTGAGCAAGCGATATTATCTACGCATCGCCACGATGTCACAGTAAAGTTGCGACAGTGCCTACATTAAATATATCGAATGTAAAATATGGCCTTTAGGTAGACAATACGCGCAAAGTTCCAAGTACAATGTATAATTTATCTCATAAGAGAGCCAAATGGAAATAACACCATATAGACCTAACAAACTTGTTTTGCTCCTTCTAAAATTAATTTCCATGTAAATTAGTAGCTCAGTGTTAAACCACATAGCCTCAAAATAATAACATCCTATCTCTCATGTAAGTTTTGAAAACATAAAGTAAGTATATTAACACGTTTATACCTACGCTAAAACGTTACATAATAATAAAATTGAGATCCATGTACTTTGCATTAATAGATTTACCAATTATATTGAATACCTAGCTCTAATTACAAGAAAGCAGGCTTGCTATTGTTTTACTATATCATTTTTTGAAATACACACATATAAAAGTGTATGGGGATCAAACACGTTGCTGCCTATTACTGAAAATCAGACTTTTTGATTACGTTTTTTTTAAAACGATGGATTTTTTTGGTAAATTTTATAATTTGAATTTGAAAATGAATTTGATAAAAAAAACTCCAGTGGTGTTAAAACAAATTAATTAAATAACCAGATTTTCAGTAATTTTCAAAAACGTGCTTGATTCCTAGACACTTGTGTGTAGTACAAAACAATAAAATTAATAAATGCGTGAACCAGAAATTAATGCAAGGAGGCTGTCAAGAAATTAAAAAGAAAAGTTTCACATGTACAAACTGTGATCAATTATTCCACTGATTTGCACGAGTTGCAATTTTTTTGTTTCATTTTGATAAATTTGAGAGAAATAAAATTGTTTGTAACAAATCTCTTCCTGAAATGCTAAATATTTCATTAAGACTCCTTGTAGATAGACTGGAGTCTTAGAGCGAGATAGTTTTATGTAATGTACTTAAGTAACTTGACTCCGGCCTTTACTTATCCTATTCCTTAACACGTTAAGTGCCAAACCACAACGCACATTATATGAGTACCTTATAACAAAACTAAGATATCGTTAAATTAAACTGAATATAATACAGTAGAATCCCTATTACAATAGCAGGCCTACTGTTCTATATATACTTATGTAGGGTCCTACTTTAGGTATAATATCGTATAATGTAAATGTTATGAAAAAAAAATTTTTTCTGGGATCAGCACACTTATGGTATCGGCTTCGGCATCGCTATGGTATCGGCTTGAGCCTGCTAGAAAAAGTTTTGTCCATTCAATAATAATGAAAAGGATGTTGTCGACGACGGACAATGCGATTTGACACACGCGAAACGCACAACATGCATGCACGTAAAGCTTTTTCTGAACTGAGCGACTCAAGCCGATTCCGCATCGGTAAGAGTGGTAACTCCCTAAGGCGAAAGATTTAATAGTCGCCATTGATATTTTGTCTTTCCGGTTTAAAATTGCCGCTCAAATCTCTGTTTCTACTAATTATAAAATATATGCTACTATTTAAATATCTATATTAGATAATTAATACCACTGAGTTTAATTAAGATAAAATATCAATACCGCTTGTTGCAATACGCCTTGTCTATTTTTAGCCTTATGTTATAATCCGGCTGTTGCGGTTCAGGCGACTAATTTCATTAATAGCATACATCTTTTGAATATATTTTGAGTAATTAATAATAATATACTTCTTTGGAACATTACAGTACAGTCGAGACGTGTTATTCGATTACAGTGGTTAAGTAAATACCGATTGTAAATCCCTTTCGGTGTTTGAAAGGGAGTTACAATATAATCTTCAGACACTATTTACAATGCATTATAATCCTCTAAAGTAGGACCTCGTATTAACTTGATTGATCACAGTAATCTCTCAATGTCACCCTTAGCAATAACACAAATGTAGGTAGAAGTACAGAGAGTACAGGTATTATACGCAATGGACAATATTTTAAGAGGTATTTTTTGCTAGTTCTTCTAGAATCGTAAACGTGTGTCGATTAAAATATTATAAGGAAAGAAGTTGAATGATAAACGCACATTATATATCGTATAGTAAATACTTTGTATCACGTACACGCAGGATACTTAAGAACAGTACTTCTAGCATGAGTTTACAGTATTAATGGTCTAGGTAGCGATAGAGGAATTTTATATGGAAAATAATACAGCTCCTTCACCGAAATTTACACGGCGGCAGCGGCTGTGACACTGTAGACTGGTGGTAGTGGTACACCGCTGTGAATGAAAGTGAAATCTCTTTCTTTCACAGAGTCCTTTCTTTGTCTAAAGCATAGACTAGTATGATAAGATGTTTTCTAATTAATGTCAAAATAATAGCAATGTCTCACGCATTCTATAGACGTGCAGTAAAACCATGAGATTACTGTAATCAATGCAGAAATATCATCAAACATAATCATATTTACACAAATAAAGCAATACATACATACATAATCACGAATTGTTGGCGGGCGCTTTTGAGAAATGTACATTTTGTATAAATAACAGTAAGGAAGATATATTGGCGTAGTGTTGTTTACGGTGATGGCGTACGACTGGTGTATTGAAAGCTTCTAGGCCTTCTAGTAAGCGTCGAGTCTTCCATAGCAGTCGGGCGCGGGTGTGTACTGTAACGTCTAAGTATTAAAAGATAATAATAGCGTATACTTATCATAGAATAGGCAGAGGCTCTTGGGCGGTGCGCACATATTTTTACGTGCACTTCACGGGATTTTGTTAATATAGGCAAAAAGCAAAATACCTCGTATAATTACGCAAGCGTAAGAATGACTGTACACCAAAGTGGAGTAGGCTCAATAAACGATCTATCACGTTGCTTGAAATCCTAATACAGATGTGACATTACCGAAACGTAGTAGCAGTAAAACTCCTTGTGAATGAGCTCGTCCAGAAAAGTTCTGTCACCTTACCTATTTATGCCGCCAACCAGTAATGTTCACAACATTACTGATAAAATTACAGGCACATGGCATTTGACAATTTGTCTCAAAGTAAGGGGCGTAGTGGCAATGTCCATCAGATCTTTGCGATTTAAAGCTCTGAGTGGCTGCAGCTGTTATGAATAGGAGTGTAGATTACCATCAGGCGAACGACTCGTTCGTCCCGTCACTTAATATTATAAAAAAACAGTTCGTAACTTGATGCGCGAGAAAGTAGTTAAGCTCTCTCATGGACTAGCTAACATTGACAAGTGGTTGGCCTGATAACGAAGTAGACATTCTCAGCAACTTAACGGGTAATTGAAATAGTTGATAATTATACACACATTAAAAGTGTCTAGGGATCAAGCTCGTTTATGTCAATGACTGAAAATCAGGTTTTTTTTTTTTTTTTAACACCAATGGTTTTTTTTTCTTAGTCTATTTTATAATTTGAATTTGACCAAAAAACCCATTGGCGCTAAAAAAATTCATTACAAAACCTGATTATCATCGGATTATTATATCAGTAATAAGCAAATCCGTGCTTGATCCCTAGACTCTTTTGATGTCTGTATAAACCGACCTACTCCGCTTTGGTCCATATCGAGGCAAATAGTTAGACAGATTAGCAGTTGTTTCGCATTTAGTTCTCGGACATATCAATTCAGGCACCAAAGATTATAGTGTAAGCAATTATTGTATCATTGTTGATCGGGATGATTTGTGTATGTGTAATATTTAAGTTTTTCAAGTGTTTTGTGAATGTTATCAGCCCATTTTGGAAATATTACATAAGAGGTCTTTTTCTGTCACGCGGAATTGCTCCTTATGCTCAGCCAGCCCTTCTTGTATTGACAGCCTATCGCTAAACGCATCTCGCGTTATATATACGCGATAGCACAATAAAAGAAATGCTATACACTCAGTATCTGCTGTTTTGTGCATGCAAAATAACCCGATGACGCTGATACGAGTATTCTGTAGAGACCAAAGAACCGAGCGCACGCCACCGACAACCAACAACAAAATGCGATTTTACTTCAATTTTGTTTTTATATTTGAAATAAAATTTTAAATATTTTTTTTATACGTACGCGGAGGAATATAACTGCGTGCGGAAAGAAATCCGCTCAACAGGAAAAGGGCCTCAAAGATAAGTAAATTGGCTAGTTTCTATTTATCTCGTTTTATGTCTAACGTCTGTTAAAATTAACCCCATTTTAAATTTTTGTTGTTTTCGACGAATATAATGTTTATATCTGAACATGTACACAGGGCAATTGAAACGCAACTGGCAGTTGTGTGGTTTTATTTTGAGAATAGGTACAGTGGTTTCTAAAACTTTTACCACACTATTTTCTATTAAAAAAAATATTTAAAAGACGTGAGAAAATTTCGTTGAAGATTCGTTTGCACGTTTTTAGCTTTATGAAGTTTTTTTTAATTTTTAATGTCTATTTACGAACATTCTGTGTAAATTTTGGTGTCACTATTTGGATTAAAGAAGTGATTAATTTTTATATTAGTTAAAGTAGTTGTATGGTATCCGGCTCGGCCGACTTTGAACATGGTTCTCTAGTATAAATCTAGTCGAATACTGTTCTTTTTGTTACTTGCCAGTTCATGCTATAGATATACCGTAATTAAAACAATAAAGTTCTCTAATAACATTGTGCAATTGCGTTTTACTTTACATTTACCTTCTGCTTTAGCGGTCGTTAATAGTACCATACTACAATATCTTCATCTATTAGTTATTCGTCGCTTAACAGAGGCAGCTTTCGATTCGTAGCGAGTAAGTGATGGAATAACCTGCCGCCTCCGGAAAAAAATGGCAAAACGCTTAAATTCCTTTAAAATGTGTAAACAATGGCTCGTCTGTGTAGAAATTGAATAGCAATTGGTCTGTGGTTAAAACCCCTAGCAACACTAACATAATAAATTTAATAGCTCAGTTGGGAGAGCGATAGCCCGCGTTAAGCGAAAAATGTGTCACTGGTCCAAGTCCAACCGCATCGAAGGAATTTTTCTTTGTGTTCGTTCGACCTTTGTATCAATTATAACCTAAATGCAGTTCAAAATTAAAACATCGACATTTATCAATAATTATAATGTAACAATATGCTTACATTACATGTAAAGACTGGCGGCGAATACGATATCTCGTTTCAACACTTTAATAGATTCACTGAATTTGTTTTCTAAGTCCGTGTTCCCAATATTCTTGGCCGCTTGGCACAGTTGTCTGAGTACTTCTTCTAGTCGACGCATACATCGTATTATGGAACCTGACAAGCAACAGGAGGACAAGTTATTTTTAAAATGTTACCAACAATAGAGCCACCAATTTATCTGGGATACGAGTGGTGTTGTCACTTTTTTACAATATCACAGATAAGATACTGGCAATGTAGTTAGGAGCAATAGAGCTTCTTGTGGCGGAGTTCATCCAGGTACTGCCACCGTAACTACTTCTGCCGCCTAGCAGTAATGTATTATTGCGTTCCAGTTTTAAATGAAAGGGTAAGGACGCAGGTGAAAAAAAAAACAGGCACATGGAACTTATCGACCTTTTGTATTTTGTTTGTGACGGTCGTAATTGCAATGCCATTCGGGTCTTTGCGGTTTAGAGCACTGCAACTATTATGGGTAGGCGTGTAGCTTACCACCAAACGCGTAACTTGTCCGTCCAGTCACTTGATATATCGAGTTCTTAGGTTTTCTTGATATTATAATATATAATTTCTTGATATAACTAAAAAAGTGACAGTTTCACCTGCAGAAAGTACCCATCATCTTCCTGTACCATACCATAAACGCTAAAGTAAATAACTCGGAACAAATTGGATTAATTGGTGGAAACGTTCTCACGAACAGAAAGAATTCAAGAAAATTAGGGTTCTAATGATGGTAACTTATTTTTTCAATTAACCTCCGATGTAACAGCTCGCAACTAGAGAAAACCTTTTCTAAATTATAATTACCTGGAAGTAATTGCTACACAGCAAAAGGCCGCCTGTTACACATTAACTTACTATTTTTATTTCTAAGTTACTGTTTCGTATCGTCACTGTAATTAAATGTGCAATAAATAATATTCATTCATTCATTCATTACCTTCAAAAACATCGGTCATTTTGCAGATCTGCAGAAAGGAAGCTCCTTTAGCCCAGGCTAGCACGACGTCCATGAGCGTGTGCTTGAATTTTGAAACGTATTCGTCCTCGTCCAGGTCCATTTTTGCATCTATTGACACTTTAGCTATTCTACGAGCGTACTCCTGAAATGTTATGTAAAAGTGGATATGAACAACACGCACATAGATGTGCGTGCAAAGGTGAAAATATACACGGTCGCATCAGCCTTATGTTCCCCATATACAGGTGGTTTGTCTTCAGGGTTCGCCGTTTCAAGCTGACCGAAACGACGAATCAATAGTGTCTGTTTATGTCGTTAACGGTTAACATGAACGCAAAGGGAGTAGCGACGGATCGATACGATATCGTGACGATCAAATCGAGGAATCTGGGTGTCTACTCTCGATCTCCGTCCGACATCACTTACGACAACAATTACTGTCAAATAAATAATATTCGACAAAATTAAAAGACAAGTATCAAGTATGAAGCTTCATTCGCATCACGCGTCTTTTCATTTGGTCAAGTATTGCGTATTTGGCAGTAATTGTTTCGGACGGATGTCAAACGGAGATCGAGAGTAGACCCCCTGTATAGGGGCGCCTTTAGAAATACTTCTAGAATCACTTCCACAAATTATTTCAAAATGGACAAGACGTTGTTTCAGTGACAGTAAAAGAATGAAAGTTAGTTTTGTTATTTAACGCTTCCGAGTAGCAGTAGAACTCCTTGTGAAAGAGATCGTCCTGGGAAGTACTGCTACCCTACCTATTTCTGCCACCAAGCCGTAATGTAATTCATTACTGCGTTCCGGTTTGGAAAGGTAAGGCTGCTGGTGAAATTACAGGCACATAGGACTTGTCAACTTGTGTCAGTGCCAGTCAAATCTATTCGTATGTGATTTAACGTTCTGAGTGACACTGCAACTGTTATTGACAGGCGTGTCGCTTACCACCAGGTCCACGACTTGTTCGTCCCGTCACTTGGGATCATAAAAAAAAGATGTTACTTGCAAACAGTACAGCATAATTCACAATTCTGTACTCAAGCGCCAGTGTATAGTTCCCTTACCTGTAATTGTCGTAATACTCCTCTGAGCTCTTCCCCGGTAGCGGAAGCTTGATTAGTGTTTTCATCGCAGACGAAACAGCTGACCAGGGCCGCACTTTGCTCCGAAGTGAGATTATTGAAGACGCCGTTGAAAATTAACTCCGTTAGTAGGAGTTCGTCTGCACTGAAAAAAGGACGTTTGATATATATAAAAAACAATCAAAATATAGTCAAAATCTGATTTTATAACGTGTACGTTGAACATAGTGGTGATTAGCGGGTGATTTTTCCAACAATGTATAAGATTCAGAAGTATTTTTTTCGGATTTCAAACAAACCAACGTTTCGGGCCCTTTATAGAGAGACTGAGCTAGCTAACACCAATTATGTCTAATACTAACGCAAACCACTCTATTTTTCACTATAGTTACAAAAGTTATTCATTGTAAATACTGGGCAGTAAGTAATACGGCCCCCCTTGTCATTGCATTTTTTCAAACAACGCATTTGCATTTTTTTTTATTTGGTAACTTTCGAGATATTGACATCTACTCTTTTTTTTCTTTGAAAAATATGTTAATTAAGTGAACAGTATTTCATATATTCTAGTTTAATGCAGTGTAGTATTGGTAATATTGCCAGGGCTATCGGTACTCATAGATCACAATTTTTTCCTAGTTTGAGACATAGTAAATGGTGGGACGATATTATTAATCATATTGAAGTAAAAAGTACAAGGGCCTTACCATGAACTCTTATTACGATTCAGTTTAGGACCTAAAATGAATCGTTGTGAGACAGCGCTACATGAAGTGTATATCACCATCCCGCTTTTTGCCGTTACGATACTGAACTGTAATAAGAGTTCATGGTAAGGCCCCAGGTCTGCCGTCCGCTAGCTAAAACGCGACTAAGTGACAATAATATTTTTTTTTTGAGATATCATAAAAAACCATAACTCAGTTTTAGAATATTGAAATTGTTTAATGATATTTCAGCTATGCATCGTTAGGGTAAGTTCCGATAAGTCGAACACGTTAACTAATTTGAACTGCTTTTTTTAAAAGAGAATTTTGTGCTCTATTTTTTGCTATTTAAAACGGTTATCTGACCATTTGTCACTTAGCCGCGTTAGTGGACGGCAGAGGTAACAATGTCACGACACGTCCTTGAAGGTACGACTGAAAACGACAGAAATATTAAAACGTACCTGCTCAACTCACAAGCGATGCGTCCTTTTAATTCAATGACGTCAGCGGCAGTACAATATCCCAGTCTTCTCAATACGCGTTTCCGTTTCTTCAGTTCATCCATTTGCAAGATGCTCTTGGCTTTCTTTAGTTCAGCCTTAGCGGAATTCAGTTCCTCGTAGAGCTCTTGTTTTCGCTCATATGTTGCTGTTAATGCGCCGCGACTTTTGTCATTGTGTAGAGGATGAGCATAGAGCCTGAAAGATGTATGTTTCTTATTTATTGTCGTAATATATTAATCAGTAGCAGTTAGTCCAGGGAAGTACTGCCACCTTATCTATTTCTGCCGCTATGAAGTAATGCTCACATTACTAAGTTTCAGTTCTGAAGGGTAAGGGTGCTGCTAAAATTACAGACAAATGGGACTTGTCAACTTATGGACTGTGCCTTTAATTGCCAATTGAGCAATATTTTAATAACAGTGCTGTTTGTTTGTTGTACTGAACGCAAATTTCTCGTGGTGGAGAAGGAAAAAATCATTCTTTGCCTAACATTTATAGTTGTTATTTTATAAGTACAACCAGCACTTGGTATGCCCGGTACTCTTTCGTTAGTAGTTTGATGTCATTAATTTGTTTGTGATCTAACTATTCTAAAACTTGATGTCAGTATTTGCCGAAATTTTTTCTCTAAATCTACTTACGCGTTTGTACGTTCATACAGTTCATATTATTTTTATGAGTGTTATTTGATAGAAGCACTTTTGATATATGACCACACGTGGCTTTATTATCATACAGTTCATATTATTTTTATGAGTGTTACGTGATAGAAGCACTTTTGATATATGACCATACGTGGCTTTATTATCATACAGTTCATATTATTTTTATGAGTGTTGTGTGATAGTATCACTTTTGATACTATCATGATGAACATAACATTAGTTGTAAACTTCAAATAAAACACTCCGAAATTAATTTGACGTTGTGTCATTGTTTTTTGCTCATATCTGCTAGCCAGATTTGCTCATTATCTTTCCCAACAAAAAAGTTAACGGAAAGTACAAAGATATTACCTCTCTTCCAACTGTTTGATCTTGTCAACACACCCCGTAAATACCGGCTCTTCGATCTTCATATCTTTAATAGGGTTCAATAAAGGGGGTCCCTCAGGGAACCTCTTCTTTACCTCGTTTATAGTCTTGAGTACAGACTTGCGACTGTCGGCAGGACGCAAGTCTTTGGGATAATAGACCCGCAAAGAACTTATCTGATAGATTAGTGTGTGGATTACTGGGACTACTTCTACGTCACCTGTCTGTGAGAAAAAAGATGAAGATTATCCAATTATGTTTTAGTAAATTCATTAGCGAAATTTTGATAAAATGTTAAGATATGTTTTCTTTTTATAGTATAGTAATAATTACTATTAAAGATTTTTATACACTGACATCATAATAATTATCTGGAAGGTCAAAATAACCAATAATATCTACATATCGCACCTCCGGTGAAACAGTGTCTTAAGTTTGCAAAAATAGCTTTTTTGCCCTCTATGAAAAAATTGAGGAATGCATAATGTGTCTCTGTTTTTAACCGACTTCAAAAAAGGAGGAGTTTCTCAATTCGACTGTATGTTTTTTGTTTGTATGTATGTTACGCAATAATTCCGGCTTTGTGAACCGATTTTGAAGATTCTTTTTTTTTTGTTGGAAGGAATAGGTACCTCAATCTTGGTTCCATTTAAATTTGAAAAAAAAATTCAATCTCTAAGGGTGGCAAACTAGGGGATGAATCCAGTTTTGCGCACTTTCCGGTAACCGACTACAATAAAACTACAAACAGATGTAATTCCACGAACTTTTGAGGACGGTTTTTTTTAGTACTCTTTATTGAGATTATTATATATAAATTTCAATGTTTTCACATTTTTGCAGTTAAGCCTATGTTTCACCGAAGTTACGATATACATATAAATATTTCATCATTATTATCTATAAGTTTAATTTAAAAAATACAGTGCAATTAAGATTGCAGTTAAAAACAACTGAAAGCGCCGAACCACGAAGCAGCGACAGACTCAACTCACACTGGCGCAGAGTCGAGGCGTCGCGACGCGTCATGTTTTTCGCTTATAGCATCTCTATTTTCCAAATATTAAGGTACAAATTTGTGTTTTCCAAATATGGAATCGAGCGTCGACGCTTGGTAGCATTCAAGCGGCTTCGCGCGTCGTCGCGCGTCACTTGGGCGCCGTGAGGCATCAGACGCCGACCACACTGTGATGCCGACGCACCAAATCACACGACGCGACGCGACGCGTCGACTCTGCGCCAGTGAGTTGAGTCTAAGGCTCGTGTTAAAAAATCCACATTAGTAGTGAAGGGTCCGTAATAGAATTATCAATATTTTACTTAAGTCAATAGCATTTATTAATAAATATCGCTTAAGCGCATATCAATGATGATTCGTTGATAATGCATCGTTTGACAGCTGTCAAAAATTCCACTTATTATTAAAAGTCACTTAAAAACCTAAGGTTCAAAATCATTGATAGGTTCTAATGAATCAAATGTAGAGTCTTGGTCACATAAGATGGTATCATCCAAGATTATAGTCGTCTACTAATACAAAAGAGCATGAGTTAATAATAATACCTTACTTACCTTATTATACTTACTTATATTACGCTATACAATTATTAATATGGGCTTTAGGATATTACCGATTTCCATAAGGAAGCGATATTAATAACGGGAATATGTGAACCATTTGATTGTGTGCCGATGTGTTTACCAAAAAAAAAGGTAGCCTACCTCACCAGGAGGACACGGTATATTCGCTTCCGGGTCGTCCTCGCTACCCTTCTTCACATGCAGCAGTATGTCAACGACAATCACGGTTTCGGCAGTCAGCGGATTCGAATTTTGAGATTTCTTGCCTTTGTCGGTGCGGTGCCGGAAGTTAACTATGATACCCCAGTCGTACTCGTATTTTTCCGTTTTTACCTGAGTTACAAAAAAAAATCGGTGAATGAAATTAAATAAGTTTAAACAACATTTTTATAACAATATTTAATAATAAAATGTAGTAGGCATAGGTCGCAAAGTAGGGAATTCCCTGTAAAAATGTGTACAATCAAAATTTATAATTATAACGTTTCCTAATGATAAAAAAAATATTGAAATACGTCTTTTACATTGATGGTAGATTTTCTAAGCTACAATTACATATCGACAATTTTTTATACTCTACTGTTGACGGACTCCGTGGTTGAGTGGCTTGCACACCGGTTTTCATGGTGTCGCCATCGCTGAGATCCCTGGTTCGATCCCCGGTCGAGTCAGTGGCAAAAAACTAACTTTTCTATGTTGTCTCGGGTCTGGATGTTTGTGGTACCGTCGTTGTTTCCGATTTCCATAACACATGTGCTTTAGCTACTTATTTCGGGATCAGAACAATGTATATGATGTTGTATAATATTTATTTATTTATTTATATTTACTGTTACAAACTTTTTTCTAGCAGTAGAGCTCCATTTGAAAGAGTCTGTCCAGGGAGATATTGTCTTCTTACCTATTTCTGCCGCCAAGATTTCGTTTCGGTTTTGAAGGGTAAGGGTGATGATGAAATTACAAGCACATGGGACTTTTTAAGTTATGTCTCAGGATGACAATCGCAATGGCAGTTCCCCTCAGATCTTTGCGATTTAAAGCTAAAAGTGCACTGCAATTGTTAAAACGGAGTGACGCTTACCACCAGACACACGACTTGTTCGTCCTATCACTTGGTATTATAAAAAAATTACGACGACGTACGTACATTTCTAGCAACGTCCTACAAATTATAATTTGTTAAATACGACAAAACATCAATTATTTTTCATATTTATGTCACTACTCATTAGTCTACTCACTACTCTACTTACACTTCACTAATTACAATTAATTACACTAAAATATTTTTAATCTTTATTTTCACAACTTTACATGATGAAGTTACGTCCAACGGAAAAAAAGTTTGTGATGGATCTCGTCAAAAATACAAAGTCGATTAACCCTTCCAGTCGATTGAGTCGGTCTGGCAGTAATTTTCTAAAGCGTGAAACAGAGAAAGCGGGAGCGGGTCTGGATCTAATTCCGTGTCTTTATATGAACGACAGCACACAGAGCGAAGGCGCGGGACGGGCGCGGAATTAGACCCGTCGCGGTCCCGACCCGATCCACACCAGACCTGCACCCGCGCTCTGGGTGTTTCACACGTTGAGTACAATATTTAGCGAATTATTCTTAAGTTTATGTAAATTGTTTGTTCACGTTGTGTTATTTTCGGTTAAATTGTGTATTTTTGGTGATTTTTGTCCTAAGTTTAGCACTGTACTGTTTTGTAGAAATTCAGCCAAAAATTACCAAATAGCGGCGCTACGCCTTTTTACCACTATCCGTGGGGCGATTCTTATTACTATATTATGAGTTGTATCCAGTTATAGCCAAGCCAATATAACGTTTATTTAAATATATGATAGGTCAGTCGATATCTGTTAACACCGATTATCAATTTCACTGGCAGTGTCCCATCATTGGTTCACAAAATTTTGACATGTAATTGTAATCAAGCTAAATTTTACTGAGCATAATCATCACTGGATGTAAATATAAATTATAAAATAAAAAATGTTTCATTCATTCAAATGATTTTAGTATACATATAAACGTATGAAGTTTTCAACCTATCCTCCATTGAAAATGTCCAGTGCGACGTACATAGATTGATAAAGTACAATATACCATTACAATTAATACGAATCAATAATTTCAAAAACAATCAGTTACCTTAACAAGTCTACCGGGTTGTAAGAAAGGCTTCAAATACTCAGGCCTTGTAATAAACGATCTAAATTGAGCTCCAAGCAAGTCCAACTGCGTTCTAATATTGCAATACGCTGCTATTGAGTGTTCTTGTTCCACCGTTACTGCGTCGTATTCTTTCTGCTTAGTTTTAACCTCTGTAGATTGGAAGGAGACATAAATATTTATAATTTCTTTACCAATAAAGGATAAAACCGTTATGTTTCCATTGAAGTAATTAGTGCAATATAAATACAATCTACTACAAAATACATACAAAAAAAAGTACAGACGAATTGAATCTCCTCCTTTTTTTGAAGTCGGTTAAAAAGCAGACCTCAAAAGTCATTAATCCCCTAGTTTACCACCCTTAGAGGTCGAATATTTTCTTCAAATTTAAATGAGTCCACTTCAGAGGTACCTTCTTTTCAATAAAAAAGAATCATCAAAATCGGTTAACAAATGGCGGAGGCATCGCGTAACACACATACAAAAAAAAACATACAGTCGAATTGAGAACCTCCTCCTTTTTTTGAAGTCGGTTAAAAACAAACCAATACAGAGAAAGAAACAAACAAAAGTTGTGCTCTACCTTACGTATTACATTATAAGTATTAAGAAAACATTACGTACTTTCAATAAGTTCCGGAATAGCAGCCTGGTTTTGGAATTGGAAAAAACTCCTCTCCAACATGTATTCAGGGTTTATTTCTTCCACTCTGAGCAAGTTGAGTACCTGAACAGAAAGAAAAATGTCATAGGATCCCAATGGACGGTTGCTATGTTCGTCACGAGAATAGACCAATAACACAAAGAGGCCAGCTAGCTGCAATCCTTCCTACAATCGTAACTCTGAAAAAGGTCAAAATTCCCTCTTATAGTAGTCTCAATTATGTAAATGGCCGAGGATATCATCAATTAATAAGCAATAAACTCAGTTTTTTCCTTGCGTTATAATTATTCAAATATTGAACATGGGCTAAAATTATTTTCTGACAGCATGTCTATAGATGGCATTGTGTGTTACAAACTAGTTTATAAATTAACGCTTGCCAATATGGGTAGATGGCGCTAATCATACACAAAAATAAAAGTTTCCTTTTATAATATCAAGTGACGGGACGAACAAGTCGTGCGCCCGATGGTAAGCTACTCGCCTGTCCATAACAGTTGCATCGCCACTCAGAGTTATATATACCGTTCAAAACTGGAACATAGTAATGCAGACATTACTGCTTGGCGGCAATAGCCAGCAGTGTCCTTAAAAATCAATGCAATAAGCACCATCTAGTTGATTTGTTTGTTATCACTAGAAAGAGTAGCTTTGATAATTTGCAACTGGTCAATGTAGAACAAATTAGTTACAAAAATAGCTATTCGGTACTCGTCGCGACATCCGGTGTACCAAAAGGTACTAAATACATATCGATTATATAAGAAATAGAGATGAAATAAGGGCCATCCATCCCTGGCAACTCGTCAGGAAAATGGGACTTATATCACTTTTAAATATCAACTCTCGTTTGCACTGAAATCACAAATTAGAAAGCTGAAATAGTACAGCGCCAACAACTGACCTGTGTGTACTGTATTCTACGTATAAGCATCAGTAAAATCTATCAGCCTGTAGCTAATAGCTGAGCAAATCCCGTTTGCGTGCGCCGCGACACGCATTTATTATCATTTTTTATTTTTTTAAACATTATAATTATGTTTTAACTTTTGCTGTAAGTACTGTATTTTCGTTTAAAGTGTATAATATTGTATTTTAATATAAAGATCTTGTGTGTTTCGGTGCTTACGCAATAAACTATTCTTATCCTTATCCCAAAAATATTACGTATTTATTGTAATAAAGATAACATCTGTAACTATGGGAGGCTGTTCCATTCGGGGTGTGGGAAAAACAGCAAAACATCTAATTACAAAACCAACGGAATCACATTTCGTCGGTAATTAAATATTAAATATGTAATTTTTCAATTTTCGTCTGTTAACGCAAAGCTCAAGTTAAATTGGTCGATATGAAGTAAAACAATTGACGACACCCGTCAATTGTCTCGAATTCGGGCTGGAAAGTCGAAGCGAAGTAATGATTTGGCAGAACAGTTTTCAAACAAATTAAATGACATTTCGTCTCTATTTCTGGTTATATACTCGATTTAATACCCGACTACGCCGTCTTGTATCGCGATTGGCAGTCCAATTGAGTTATGATTGGTTATACAAAGGCTATTAGTACGAACAAGTAACTATTTATTAGAAGACACAAATTAGATGCAATCAAAGAATATCTTCTCACAAAATATCGTTGTTCACAAGAGAAACAAAGTTTGTCACTAACCATGTTGTAAGTGAGATGGAAAGCAGAGTTAATAGGATCTGCCTTCCCCTGAACCATGTCCTTGACGACTGACGGAGAGACCTTCTGGTCAATCATAAGGATCACAATACCCTTATCGTCTAGACCTCGACGTCCTGCGCGACCGGACATTTGAATGTACTCTCCTGACGTTATCTGAAATTAAGTGGTACATTATTGCCTAAAACAGAAAAGCTGGAATTAACCTAACCTAAAGCACAATCTTATTTTGATTTCATCCACGATCCTTGAACCATAAACAGATGCGTGCTATAATTTTAATGTGGTTTTGAATAAAGAGTGCTATGGTGATTCTCTCCCTCGGTTAGTAATCAGCTGATTGAGTTCTACTAATCCAAGACAGTCTCGAGAGATAATTTAGCTTCTGTGTAGTTATCTTCTGTTTCTGGGCCCTTTCAAATCAATGAGATTGGACTAAGCTTTAAAAGCACAATTTTGGACACATTGCAGAATATCCACGTAAAAGCCCTCTGATGTTCAAACTGCAATTCAAATCCCATAACATATAAAAAACAAATTCACTAAGTTTCATTTTCTGAGGGTATTTTTCTTGGTATTAGAAAAAAAAAATTTTACATTTCATGGTCAGACAGATGCGCAGTTGGACGAGTAAGAACCACGAATCAATCCTACGAGACATACATGTCTCCTGTTAGGTCTTTCGCTGGTCGGGTTTCCTTTAAGGTAAATTTATCGGTCTATTTAATGACCGTTTTCAACCAAACACATATCGCACACGACAACTAACATAGTATTATCTCAAAATTGTTTTAGGTTATATTAATATTCCCTATTTAATTTCAAAGCGACAGTATCGTCCTGTCACTTTGAAATTATATCATATACAAACTCTATGTATACAAATGACATTCAAATATAGCGAAATTTTGGAGAAAAATTTAACGCAATTTTGATATTATACTATGTTAATAGTTGTCAAGTGCGACATACATGAATTGAATATCGATCCCAGAGTGCTGCCCTACGAATACAGAAACGAAAATTTGAATAATCCGATGTATTATTTTCAACTCTACCGTCATTGCCAACTTACCTGTCGAGTATGGCGATTATGTAAAATCTACAATTCTTTCTGAAAGTGCTATTACAGAATTAGACCATTATTATAGTGATCTATACTTACGAATCGGAAATCTTTTCCGTCGAACTTTTGGCAGTTCGTAAAAACGACAGTTCTGGCCGGCATGTTGAGACCCATGGCAAATGTTTCCGTTGCAAACAGAGCCTGCAACAAACGAATTCGGGTAAACAATTATTCGGATTGCACTAGCCGTTGCCTTTGCGACGCAACCAGAATGCAGCTCGTGTGACATAAATACGGCTTCAATTTCAATGATGATGTTAGTTTAATTTTTCAGAAAACAAGGTTAAGTTCATAACAAAATCTAACGTTTTTTATCTATGAATCTAACAGATAAAACCCACAGACCCATAAAAACTTTCAGTTCATAAAACTACTCTTCTATTTTGGTATTATTATTAATACAAAGATCGAACAAAAAGAAAATTCCTTTAATCTGAAGACTCGAATCAGTGTGTTGCCATGCGGGGCCACTGCGCTTAACTAACTGAGCTACTGAGCTAACTGAGTCAGGAATTCTTACAAATTTATTTGTGTTTTCTACAAATCTTTGAAAAAAAAAACCGTTTAAATCCAATATTTAAACGGTTTTTTTTTTCGCCGTCACCATTGCATCGTCGTCCGGCGCACCTGTGACAAAATTATGAAGTTACTCACTCAGCTATTCCCCTCACCCGGAGAGTGAGTACCAGAGGCAATACACGCATGCTACGTGTAAACTCTGAGACTAATAGGTAGCCCAGTTACTTTATATTATTATTTTCTGTCTGATACAACACGGAGAATAAAAGAAAGCTGTTGATACAAGCACGATTTTTTTAAACGACTAAAAAAAGAGGAGTTTCTCAATTCGACTGTATGTTCCATGTTTTTTTGTGCGTATTACTCCGGTATATTTATTTTGCCGACCGACCGATTTTGATGATTCTTAGTCGGTGGAAAGAGAGTACCTCAGTACTGGTCCCATTTCAATTTAAAGAAAATATGCCACCTCTAAGGGTGTCAAAACCGGAGGACGAATCCGATTTCGAGCAATTTCCGGTAACCGATTTCAATAAAACTTGGCAAAATATATGTAATTCCTCGAAATTTTGAGGATGGCTGTGTTTTTTTATAAAAATGTTATAATTATCTTCTTTGGATTCCCCGTAGAGAAATATGACCGGGTTTCCCTAGTACGAATTGTACATAGTATAGTATGTATCCCATGGGATGGTGATTTACAGTTAGGAAAGACGATAAAAAGCAACTTAACAGTAATTGTCAAGATTGGAAACAAATAATTATCTAATCCTATGAACTCTATGAACAGGAACAACATATTTATTTCGGTCAAATACTGTTTAAAAAACATAATTTTATATCTACATTTGAATTATAATTAATTGTGATAGTTTGTATATACATAATCGTCATCGTCAATTGTCATTTATACCGTTATGTTCTGTGATTTTAATTTTTTAAACCTAGTGTGATATCACTAGGTTTAAAAGCAAACAACAGATTTGTACTATGGTGTCAATGTTATGCATATTAAAACGAATAATTTGTGAGCAAATTTATTGCAAGAACCGTTCTAAAGAAAACTTTTTGTTTTATTTACAACTTAATATTACTTTATTATTAAACTAATAACTAATACCATACTAGTAGATAGATAGATAAAGCATTTACTCAGCACATTACATCGCAACATTGCATATAACAAGAATAGGAAGGTTCCAACAAATAATGTACTGAAAAGGCTCAGCACAATGCTGCCAACTTTATAAGTTCTGTGGTACTAATTTGAAGTGAAATGTTTGTTACAACTCTAGAACGATCTGTCAAAATCACCATGCGCTGCTGGCTCGAATAAAGTGTTAGACGACCTGTCGCATTTCAACGCACTCAAAGGTGCCACAACCGATGCATCCTTAATTAAAGGCCGTACCTTAATAAGCCCCAGCCCAAACAAAATCTCAATGGTCTCCTTTAATATGGGCAGAAGTCCGCCATGATGTATGCCGATACCGCGTCGCAGTAGCGGTATAACGTTTTCCACCTGCGGCAGTTTGCGGTCTTCCTCCGATAACACATCCATTGCGTTGTTGAATACTTCGTCAACTAGTTTCTTTTCTTCAACTGTAATTGTAGAAAGAAATGTGAATTAAAATTATACATTCGACATTTATCGAAGCGCAGCTAGTAGAACTAGTGAAGCTTTCTTGACAACCACTAAAATTGCACAATTTGTGAATTTGTGAATTACTTGGTTAATCCTCAAGCAATATGGGTGAAATTTGACTCTAGCATAAATACAATTCAACCCTTCTAAGGCCGCGTGTACAACGTCAAAATGTACATAATGTGTGAAGTCATTCAGGCCCATACAATTCCATAAATATTCTATTTTAGGGCAATAGAAAATACGTTTTCCATACAAAGCTTGTTCCTGAAGCATGTAATTATATTTAGTATAATTATGTTAATATAAATTGGGTGTTTAGCGCTTTTCCCATTGTAGTAGTCAGGGTCTTAGGAGGCGACAGGTCCAAATATAGGCAAAATTAAATTTTGACTTTTTTGCCGTAGTGCTGTAGGCTGAGTGAAGAAATAGATTTCTCACAGATGGCGCTACGGTAAAAAAGTCGTTAAAAAACCAAAACAAAAATCTGCAACAAGCACATAAAAAAATTCGTAAGGCCCGCGATTTGGTTCTGTCACTTAGTTGGCATAGCGTCCGACACGGTTTGCTAGAAGACGTTGGTTCGAATCCAGCGGGATTGAAGGAATTTTTTCTTAGTGTTCGATCTTTGTATTAATAATTATATAAAACAATGTTAATATTCATATAAATCTACAATAACCAGGCTTCATTCTAACATGGACCCACATTGTTCACACCATGATTCAGGACACCACAGTACAGTTGTTTCCTCACAGTCACACACTCATGCATAACAAACATGTGTTTACGCATAATGATATATACATAATGAAACACATAAAACACGTGTATAATGACACATTCATAGCTTCACAAAAGTACAACCGGAGCACAACACTATTTTCGAGGCTTTTCGCGATTAATGTGAAAGTGATACCAATTCACCATCATAATAAATATAATATTATAATATGTACTCACTTGTGTTAAAGTCCAATTTAGCCATTTGCATAGCATAAAGCTCGCAGTCTTTCTTACTGAAACTAAATATAATAACAGGGGCAAAGTTCCTCTCCATGATCATTTTAACAATGTTAAAGATATTCGTCTGGTTGTTCCCGCGAGGACCTCCTTTGCGACCCCTCTGGTCTCCTTTGCCGGCTTCTCCTGCATTGCTAAGGACCGCCATAGCTGTGTTGAAGTTATCTTCTTTGAATTGACCCTTAAAATGGAAAAACAGCACTGTGAATTAGTCACTATTTTGTATTGTATAAACATATACATCAAATTAATGAGTAGCAGTGACGAAACGTCCATATAACACGATTTCCACCGGCTTGCCTAAAATTTTCCGCGTATTACCAAAAGATTGTACTAAACAGTGCGCATACCCCACCACTTAAAAAACGTATTCAAAACATTCACTATTAAACGTGTAATAACTTGTTCCGATGTATCTCATCCAATCAGCGCGAGGTAAGCCGGTGGATCTGCGGGTTCTATTTCATTCATGAAATCTACGCGCTCCCATCAAAACACAAAATGGCGGCCGAGAAGCCGGAATTAATCGGCTTCTAGGCGAAGTGTTCACGTAAATTTAAACCGTATTCCAACAAATAACTGTTTAATTTGTTTTATGTCAAAATCATTGCCAGATGTAAAACTTTCTTAAAATAATGTAACAAAATTATTATAATAGCAAATTAATACAAAATATGGTTAATTTGTATTTTGTAAATATGAACGATAAATAGTGTTACATATGTATCTATACCTATTTGAGTGATTCCTTTTTTTTTTGGGCTACGTAAAGAATGTGCGTAAAAGGTCATGGTAATTCGTAGGTAATTAAGATATCAACATTTAGCATTCATGAGTTTGTTTAATAACAAACTTTAGTATTGCAACGGGCAACATAAAATGGGGTAAATTACTTTAAAAACCATAGTTACTTTAAAAGTTTTTTGTTTTTTCACGCCTCGCCACTGATCAATAGGGATTTATTATATGGAGAGTGTATTAGAACTATTGGACCATTGGACCAGCCCACCGCGTGAATTCCACTCGACTTTCAGGAGCTATTTAAGCCGGATCATTAGCGAGCTGTAACTGTAACGTGAGAGATACTGTAATGAAGTTCTAGTGTGTACCCTTGAAACAGTCTTCAATCAGACGGCTCAGTGCGAACCGCACACGTGTTCCGCTCGCGAACCACGTACACACTATGATTATTGGTAACATAACATCCAACGGTTACAGCTCGCTAGTGAGTACCTGGCTTAACTTTTCCGAAATGCAGATGTCATGTCGTTTTTTGTCGTTTACAATCTTTTTATTAATGTAGTTTCCCATTGTTTATGAATTATTAATTATCAATTTATTATTAAATTATTTGCAAACAAAATCTCCCAAACTATATGCATAGTAAAATTATAATTAAATCTAAAATTGTCATTTGTATGTACAATAATAATAATTTGATTAAAATTGTAAAATAAGATAAAAATAGCAACCCCGCACTAGGGAAACCCAGTGTCGCGGGTGCCATGGACACACACTGAAATTAATGTAGGCCATACAAATGTTTCTCCCGACCAGGGAGTCGAACCTCCTCTGCTTTAAAGTCCGGCATGGTAACCGTTCGGCCACGGAGGCAGTTAGAGGCCCGGGTTCGATCCCCGGCCGAGTCAGTGTAGGAAACTAACTTTTCTATATTATCTCGGGTCTGGGTGCCTGTGGTACCGTCGTTGTTTCCAATTTCCATAACACGAGTGCTTTAGCTACTTACTTTGGGATCAGAGCAATAATGTATGTGATGTTATGTAATATTTATTTTATCCCAAAATACAAGCTTTTGCTTAGTTTGGCTTAGATTCAGTAGTTTAAACATTTTATATAAGTAGCACGTATATACATACTATCAATCAGTGAAATAAGTTTTTTGTTTTATGTGACATACCCATTGTATTTAATTTTGCTGTATGTGTATATGAATGAACTAAATATTTTTATTATTATTACTTATTTGCGATTTGAAGGAAAATATAAAGGCGACCCTTATTGGCATTACTTACATTCTCTTTTACTAAGGACGCTTAGTGAATTTAAAGAAATCACAACTACTACAATGGCGATAAGGTTATATTTAACGTTTAAAAGATGCCAAAGTTCTAGGTATCTTACCAACCTTTTCATCAACAACCAAATGTATTCCATCCCCACCAGCTGGGAAGATGTAATGTTGCAATGGTGTAGGCCTGTACTCTGTGTACACCACGTGGCAGGGTTGCGAGTGAAGCCGGCATACCCACTCAGCGAACTGTCGCGCGTTCGGAATCGTAGCCGAGAGAAACACGTAGTGCACATTGTCAGGAAGTAAAATTAAAGTTTCTGAAAAAATATTTTATTTTTTAGTTATACAAATGTATCTCCAGTTATTTTAATCAAGTACTACATTATCCAAAAAACCAGAATATTTTCGGCACTATAAATAATATGTTTCTTTCTATACAAAATAAATGACATGTATAAAGGTAATGGACAAAATTTATGCAAAAGACTTAGTTATTCAAATAATAAAGATAAATTTATTCTATATACAAGATAACGTATCTACATCGCTTTTACCTTCCCAAACAACACCCCTTTCTTTGTCTCTCATGTAATGAATCTCGTCGAACACTACCCAGCCAACTTCTCGCATTATTTCTGATCCTCTGTATAACATATTCCTTAAAATCTGTAAATAATAATATTTGTAACGAAAATAATGCCCACAGTAAAATTTTGTTTTTAACTATACATTTTATTTCATTTAGACATTTCTTTCAGGCCACATGACCCGTATAATATATACCTTAAGGACTAAAATACATACAATACAATATGATAATAAAATAAAGTAAGCAAGTAATCTACATGTATTGCACTTGTCGACGATGTGTGGCGCAATTTGGTGCCAGGTAACCGGCCGCGAAATCGCCGATATATGACACCCTTCGGCTAAACTCTTCCTTCTTGAAGGCCGACAGATGTTCGGTCGGCAATCTCACCACAAACGAATTAAACATAAAACCGTCTGCCTCTGTGGTTTTGCAACTTCGGAGACAGGCACACAGGGACTCTTAGTCGATTGCGGCCTCTCGAGTTTCAAGATCGGCTGATAGACGCGGCTACAGCGGCGTATGCACGTGCAGGGGCTGACATGCATACGCGTGACTTTCCGCCGGGGCGGCGGCGCGGGCTGCAGGGCGCTGCGCATCACGTGCGATGGCAGTAGCGATCCGTGACGCAACAATTATATTGTTAGAGGGCGCACGAACGGAGCCTCCCCGTACGAGGTAGGTAGAGTACCCATTACTATTCCATACGCCTGGCGCACTGGGCACCAATCAGCGAGTACCTTAAGTCGATTGACAAATTATTTCACAATGGCAGGTATTATAGTTTATGCCATCGGAATAAGACTGCACTTGTTTATCATAAAACAATTTCTTTTTTAACTTGACTTCTCAAGCAATATAAGGTGAGCCATAACATCTACGATATAAGCAGAATTCACAATATTTAAAAAAATATTTTGTCACATATTTATAGATTTACAAAATTATTTATTTTATTTTAGGTTGTACAGTAAAAGAGACTAATTACAGTCTATTTAAATAACACTCCACTTTTCTATTCTTTCTTATTTTGACTCCATTAGTAATCTATCTTTAAACCATGAACAGGTTTCACATACTGAGCTGATTATCTTCTACTGACCAATCCTGGACTTTTTAAGTGGTATCCATTGCATCTTTAGTGAAGAATCTTGTCAACTCGTTACTGTACACTAGTCTTTGTTTAGTGTTTATTTAGAGTACTCTTCAGCACAAAAATAAAATATACTAAACAAAATCCTTACCTCTGTTGTCATAATGAGACAAGAAGCCGAAGGATTAATAGTGACATCACCAGTGATTAACCCAACATCGAGAAACTCCTCTGAGAACTCTCTGTATTTCTGGTTGGACAAAGCCTTGATGGGAGTTGTGTATATCACTCTTTGTTTGTTCTTTAGTGATAGTGCTATGGCATATCTGGAAAAAATAAACGCTGAAGACTAAACTCAATTGTGCCAAAAAAGTATAGTGTACTAAAATCTAAAATAACAGTGAAACCGTACAATCATAATCAATGGCACCAAAATTATTCATCAAGCACGTGTTTAGTACGGTATGAAAGTTTTTTATATTTATTTTTATTTCTTTATTAATGACTGGGACTTGGTTAACAATTATTTTTTAAACATTGGCTCATATCCACAATAAACAAACTATATCTGACTCTATTTTTTTTTTTAATAATAACGCACACACTCAACGTAGCCCCGCACTAGGGTAACCCTGTGTCGCGGGTTCCATGGACACACATAGACAACCACAAATTACAGCCAAACTCAAGAGAGAAATAAATGTAGGCCATATAAATATTTCTCCCGGCCCGGGAATCGAACCTGGGACCTCTGTGTGGCAGTCCAATGTCCAGAAAGTCAATGTACAGTAACAATAATGGTGGTGAGTTTAGGAAAAAAAAAACTTTTTAAGGTACATACAGTATTTGTACCATAAAAAGACTTCTAGATGTATGTCTAATTTTAAGTAAACAAATTAATTTCTTTGATTATTTGTTTCATTTATGATGCCAAGGCAAATATTTGTAATACTTTTAATTTACCGGTCTTTACTTCCACAATACTTTACCTACAAAGTACTGTGGCATTCAAAATTTTAATATGGTAAGCTTACTCAAAACATCTAGTATACTTACTCAGCAACTACAGTCTTTCCTGCAGATGTATGTGCAGAGACCAAAACTGATTGTAAATTGTCTATACATGTAATTGCCTCCTTTTGAAAGGGGTCAAGTATAAAGCCGTACTGCTTGGCCGGTTCTGCTGTCCTCTGTACCAGAGGAGCGTATTCGTGGTTTGGAGGTATTGCCACCTCATGAGTACAGCCTTCATGGGTTTCCAGTGTGTGTATTAGAATTCGGGAACTTAGAAGATCCACACTGCAAATATTTTGTGAAATACTTTACTGTTTCTTAGAAATCATGCTAAATCTAAATTTATTTATAAATCTGAACTGGATACATTATTTCTGTGGCACAGGTGAATCAGAGTTGTTGTTGATGGTTATTTGTCTGCTCTTCACAATATTAATTTTCATCCTTTGGTTGATTAGAAAATCCAGAACAGTTCCTCCATATTTAATTAATTTACCAATCATTCACACAAAGTCCTTTGATTTTTCCAACATCTATGTACAGTCAGCAGCACATCAAGCTATACAATCATGTTTGAATATTGCCTTCATTGCAATGGAACAAGATTTTAGTTTAGAACAGATGGGAATCATTAAATACAACAATAGGGGTTGTATAATAAAACAAACAATCTAATGTAGCATCATCACCATTATTACAGGTATTTTCAAATTTCACAACAATAATACTGGGGGTGGTGGGATATAAATATGGCCAACCATTCTAAGTGAGCTCATTCTTCGGCCAACAGTCAAGCAATCGACAACCCCTGAGGATGCCTCTAACAGAGGCGAAACACTTGTCACTGTATTATTTACTTGCCCTTGTGTTATTTACTGTATTAATTTTATACGAGAGAGTAGCAAATAAATTTAATCCCATTTTTATGGAACAAGATCTGTCTTTATATAGCTCAATGTAATCTGTAGTAGAATAAAGAAATGGAATACATAATAACACATGCTATACCTGTGTCTCTTGAAAACTGCAATTCGATGTTCCATAGGTTCCACTGTCGCTCATCACAAGTTCAACTTCAAATGAGTTTGTGGCCTAATGTAGGTTTATTTAGAAAAAATATAAGCAGCCACTGAATGTAATGTAATGTAGGGTTTGACTTAAATGAGTAAAGAACGGAAAACTCACTTTATGTCGGAAGTAGGGTCCTGTTCTTCCTCATCCTGTTTTGCTCTTTTCGCTGTATCGGCGTACTCTACTTCCTCGTGAGGACGTTTGGAACTAGTCGATGGTGTTTCTTTAGTTGTATCCCTGCAAATATCAGTGTTATAAAGCCAGACTCCGTAACAAGTATGCTTTCGAGGTTAGGATGTTACTCACTTTGTTTCTTCCTCTTTATTAACATTTGGGAACTGCACAGCAGATTCATTCTTAGCACTTTCTTCAAAACAATCAAATAAACTGTCTATATCGGCCATGCTTAAAGACAAGTATAAAGTATGTACAATTTTATAAACACCACGCGTAAAAGCGCATATTTACGCTGCACGACCTACAAACAAGATTACAAACACAGACTATAAATTACAAAACAAAGCAAGACCAACTTTACCTTAGAGGATGGAAAAAAATATTATATTCATCTATGGCAAGACCCGAAGCCGAAACGAAAATACACCACAGGTAAAAAAAAATTATGAACAAGTTATTAAAAACGTAATCGTGTGCTTAGTTTTTTCCATCCTCTATGGAAAAAAATAAAGGAACAAGTGTGTCATGTTTTTCCTTAGTTTTCTCACTTTTTTCCATCCTCAAGGTGTCAAGAAAGAAGAGAGTCAATCAAAACATGTCAATCTGATTTACCAGTTTCTAATTGGCACTTTTCTCCTACATCAAGGCATCCGTTTAAAAAAGATCCTGATACCATCCTGCCGGCGCGCCCCGGCGGCGTTTTAAAACTTATCTGTTAACTTACCGGTTTTTAAAATAGCAACATTTACTATGACTCAACGGTCACGAAGCTTGGGTTTGGTTGGTTGATTTGTCGAGTTTTTCTTGGAGTTGTAAGCTTGTCTCGAACGTGAGCTCGCGTGGAGTATATTTTTGTGCTACAATTTTTTCTCGTGACTTAAAAAGAATCTACAATGTCGTCAAAAGCAAAAAAGACTGTTACATCCTCTACAAATATCAGTGTTGTGTCATCGGTGCAGAGCCCACCACAATCTAGCACTCCCATCGGAAGCCGCCCGTCGAGCTCTGCCGGCCGGCCCAGCAGTCCGCTTAGCCCAACGAGACATAGCCGCCTCCAGGAGAAAGATGCCCTACAAAATCTCAACGACCGCCTTGCGGCGTATATCGACAAAGTTCGGCAGCTGGAAAGCGAGAACTCTGGGTTACGCCGTGAGATCCAAACAACACAGGAGGTCGTCACACGCGAAGTATCGAACATCAAGGGAATGTACGAACATGAATTACAGGATGCAAGAAAGTTGTTAGATGATACATCTCGCGAAAAAGCCAAGTTGGAAATTGATTTGAAGAGGTTATACGAAGAAAACGATGACCTGAAGAAACGGTGAGTTTACGTTATTTTATCAGTCGGTTTAGATAGCGATTAACTTATCATCCGAGGGTTGTTGCAAACATTGAATTTGCGGTCTTAGAAATCACGTAGATAACAAACGATTGCTTCTGGCTAACCTCTGCGGCGAGTTTACGTCATCGGCGGCAATTCTGGCGGGCACGGTGACGAGAACGCGCGGCCTCGCTTTTACGATGTCGTGACATCATAGCCATATTTAACTTGCCAGTTCTCACAAATTAACGTAATACCTATCAGCCTCGACATTTCCTACTGTATAAAGCTTTTTGACTTATCTAACACATAATACTATTTTGTAAACAAATAACTTCTAAGGAAGTGCTAAGCTTTCTTGAATTCTATGCTATTGAACATTGTTTGTAAACAAATGTGTTCCACATTATTGCACAAAGAATGTTACCTCATTGATCTGAGCCATAACTTGAGGGAAACATTTAGACATATTTTTTTTCCACAATCTGCTCTTTGAATAAATTCAGATATTAGATGAGTCAATTCTAGATTAAGAACAGAGACACCTACTTATTTTTGGAAATTACACACAACAAGTTTGAAAGTTTTACATTTCCAGCCTACACTTATTTATTTATTTTTTACTCATTACTGCATGTTTCAGCAAAACATTAATTGAAACTTAAATTAAATCTTATATTTTTACATTTTAACTAGTCACTTAGATTGCCTAAAATTTGTTTATTAATTCAAAATCTAGTCTAAGGAAATGACCTTCTTGGCAGTCTTTTTATGTCAAGGTTAAATAGACAATTTTTCTTTGCTAACACTGATCTGTAAAGCTAAATGTTGTCACCTCTACGTTATTTGCATCTACCTCACATTAAGTGGAAGAGGCAAAAGAGATTTGACAGGAGCATAGCCGGTGGAACTTCACGGTTTCTGCCTACTCTGGCGGGAGACAGGAATGATGATATGTATGTACTTCAGACTAAATTTGGAAAATCATGTTAAATAGGATTAGAACAATTGTTGTATGTTTGGGAATAAGTTTAACTTTAAATAAGTATTATTAATAAATCTCTAATTAGATTTCTTTTTATATCATAATATTTCTTAGAAAAAAATCAGCTCTCAAACATCATATAAAAATGTGTTTAGTCTAGGAATCTTGTTTCATTCCACATTATAATACCTCAAGGTTATGAGCACGAAAATTTTTTTATACTGCAATAATTGAACATTTAGTAATTATTTTTATATTTCAACTTTTATTACTGCCAACAGTATTTTATGATCATAATTATATTTTAACATACAAAAGTAATCTGATGAGTAATAATCATCCTTGACTGCTAATTAATTTCTCAAAAAAAGAAGTTGCAATAAAACTGAATTTATATGTATTAGTAATTAAAATTATAGAACATGTAAGGATTATAAGTTATCCAAAATATAATTAAATATTTTACAGTGTATTTAAGGGCAAAAGACACAGCCGTGTGTATGTCACATAATGGAGTGGGTGTAAGGATAATTAATACAAATAGATGGATAAAATGTTCACATGACTATATACATAATAAGTATTTATATTATAAAGGCAAAGTTTTTTATGTAACAATATTAGTCATTCAGGAACCAATTAGAGTATGATAACTTCGGTGGGCAAGTGATTATAACTGGGCGCTAGAGGATGAGTTCCCAGTAGGACCAATTTTGGTAAACAAAATTTTTTTAATTGGTCCTGGGCTGGGTGTTCCGAGTTTAGTGTGGTTGTCTGACAGTATAATAAAGAAAAATGGTACTAATAAGTAATTATAAGATGATAATTATACCTTGTTAGAGGTTTCTTGTCACAATATGACCTCTTAATATTTTCCCTTTCTTTACTTATACTTTGTGGGTATACCCACAAAGTGTATACACTAAATAGTAAACAACCACAAAAGTCTTTACCTATTGAATGCCACAAATCCATTTAAAGTAAACAATTAGTTATATTTTATATTTCCAAATACTTGTGACACAATAGTTTTTAAGTTTTTGTAAAATCGTTCTAACTAGACCTTGTTGTGGTTTAACAAAGCCTAGTTAAATAAATTATGGCCAAGGACAAACTCAAAGTTGACTAAAAATAAATCAACTTCTTTTTCTAAATCTTACTTGTGCCCAAGTAACATCCATAGATTTTCAATGTGCAATACTTTTTCTATAACTTCTTGACAGGAAGTTTGTACTATACCACCAATACGTACTGTGACCCTGACTTAGTTTCGCTTTCGGTAATCAATGGAAGCCACTGGCGATGGCGGCAGCCGTCACTAAGGCCGCGTATGCTATTCGCGATAATGCACACGCGATCTTGTTTACCTTAGCAGAGGCCCGTACTCAGCATTGGGACATATACGGTGTCATTTATACAGTTCTGGTTTACCTTAAGAATTCCTTTATTACACAACAATATTCGTATTTATCGCAGTTGCCGAGGCAACATAACCTGTGTTTGATATGGTTATTGACAGGTAACGCAAATGGAATGCTTTTTCATTAGCATTAATAGTCATAAGTTGACAGTGACCATGAAATGTGAACATTTAAATTGGAAATTACACTATTTATTCAGATCCCAGACATGTATGTTTCAAAGTCACCCATGACCATGGGGCCAGCAAAGAACCAGAAACGTAGATATGTAAAAAAAAGTGACATAGATTCTCAAAAAAAATAGTTTAATTTACAATAATAATTGAAAATGGTTGGAAAATGTAATTGTTACAGACATTTAGAAAATTATAAACAAACAGCAATAATTGTTAGTGATGTCGTAAACTAAATATTATGGATGACGGTATTAACGTTGTTTTTACTGAAAAAATGTCCCACCATTGTCCCACCATGACATTTGCACTTACACATAGCACTGGGTTAATTTTGATAGAGAAATACAAATTCCACATTCATTTTAAAAATGTCCATGTGAGTGTTGAATGAAGCAATAAAAAATGTAGAGTCAAATACCCTGTTGAATGTATATTTATCCTGAAGCACTCTTATCAAAACTGGTATTTGTTTCCGTTCACGCCAAATGTCTTTTAAGTAATCTTGTAAGTAAAATGTGAGCTATGTTCGAAATGTTATTAAAAATAATAATATGCCAGACAACCACACCAATTACTTGATCTCCAACTAAGGAATTCTCTGTACTATGTTTACTGAAGCAACGGATTTCACCCAGAAATCGTAAACCAGTACCAATTTAAAAAATTTGATACCCCAAATTGGTCCTACCGGTAATCGAACTCGAGACTTGATGCAGCGCCTAAAGTGCAATCCATTCTGCTACCAAAGTAATTATGAGACTTCTAAAATCTACTTGATAACTACTATCTAAAGTTTATTCTTATTTACTTTAATACATAATAACGCATACTACGAATATTATATCTACTTATTTATCATTGCTTAAGTCATTCTAGATTTCACAACGTGACGTCATGAGACCATACTTAGCCATTGACTCATTGTCTTTACAACCCTAAGGGAGCATTAACAATGGCGAGCAGCGTCGACAAAAATTCGATTATCAAAATTGTCAAGATGAATTCTAAAAGTTCGAAACTTAAACATGCTTGGAAGGCTGGTTTTGTCGGATGTTGACCCTGGCGACGCGGCCGGCATCGAAACGTTTGCCGCCCACCGCACCAAGTCGCGACCACACCGCACGTGGCGCGATTGAACAGCTATTTATACCGCTTTCTTAAAACCTTAGTGCATATCTAAACTCCTTTTTAAAAGGTTTAATTTTAGACCAAGAAATATGGTACTATAAAACAATATGCTTTTTATATATTTCGATAATTTTTATACCAATTTTAGATCATATGACGATATAATTTTTTTATTGTCGATTAACGTAGTTATGAATTAAAATAATCGATTATTATCACACGTCAACAATAACATCCACTAATATCGATATACTACAACTGATCGTTTCAATGATATATGACATTGATTTAGGTACGAAAGGCTGTGGTATGATAGCAGATGCGGCTTTAGGATGACATAACCGATATATTACTCCTGGATTATTTTTGCCATTGCAACCGTCTCTAGACATGAAACATAAGAATGTCGATGACGAAGTTTCAAGAATAAATTCTGACGTCACGCGCCATTGTGTATGTAGCTTTATGTTACAGGAACTGCTTAGCGATTCGCACCAATTGAAACTTCTAATCACGCTTTTGTTTCCCGCCATTATTTACATAGTTCGCGGGAGACGTCTTGGTCACACTTAGAGACGTGTAACGTTTGAAATCATTGTTGGATATCACTTCAATTTTGTTTTAAGTTAATGCCTTTTAGCGCTCAACTTAACAATTCTAATGGCTCGCCAAGTTTCAATAATATTTAGTCTAGACTTTCAATATAAATAATCCTACGTGCTCGGCACCCCCGCTTAAGCCTCACGCGACGCTCTCGATTATCTATCTAAATCGCACATACATATGTTTACATACACATACTCATTTGAACATACAGATATTACATGTTTTTGTTAGTCTCTTAGGTAATAGAACGAAAACTGAAATATATTTTTCGGCTATAAGTATTTGTAACATATTTAAAAAGAGCGTTATTTCATAGAAACAGCAAGAGACGATTCGTAAAATAAGTGAAAAGCGTCAATAGTTAATATAGTAATCACATATTCATTAGTACTGCCTTTAATAAATGAATTGCCACGTCGTTGGAAATAGGAACGCTAACTCGTTCACGAGGAGGCAGTTATATACAAATCCAAAGACCTAACAATGTTTAGCATCAGTTTATGACCCGTGAAAATTACTCGCGCGTGCTCATCATCGCTTCGCTGTCTCTATTTTAAAGTAATTACGTCACTGTATTAATATTTTTGACAATTTAGCCTTCAAAGACACGACATGCTGGTGCGTACTTGGGGACACCGAAATGACGTCACTTCTTAAAATTTGCCACGCCTAAATAAAAATTGTTTACCCAACTCATGTCATTATTTACAATAAACATGGTTGCCCTATCGCGTTTGAATAAAGATACGTATTTGTTATCTTTCGCTATGAAATATGTTTTCATCGCGTTCCAATTTCTTAGTTCGTTTTCAAGCGTGAATTTACCTATGGAATTAATGATTTTTTGTCTTTGACTTAACTTCAAGCAGTACATAGGAAATAAAACTATTTTTCTGGATTTAAGTCTCATGGTCAGTGACCATGTTCATTTCCTATGTGTAACAATCGCGAAAACCTAAGAACTCGATATTCAAGCAGTACGTTTTTCGAATTGTTAACCCCCTTTTATTCCCTTTTTGTGCTAATTGTCGTCGGTCACGCATTCAGTCGCTATAAAAAATAAATCGGCCAAGACCCAGATGCGGGCTCCCGCGATGAAGTCGCCGCCCTCGCTCGATACAGCGGGTATTAAATATAACCCGGCAAACGATCATGCAGTTTATTATACTCTTCCGAACATATTACGTGAGGCTCTTGTGTAACTAGTTGGTTTATCGACATTGCCCCGAGACAACTTTACGCGCGGGAACCGGATAGTGGCGTGTTTACATTAACATAAAAACATTCCGCGTGTGTCGACTGGCCGAGCCGGGGATGTTGCGCAACGGCGGGCATGAAGACGCGGCTTTATTTCCGAGGTTTACCTCATCGTGGTCATGCTATCGATTTTACAATAAGTTGACCTTCCCGTTAGGATGCCGTAAGAGGTTGTTACAAGAGTAAAAGTTTAAATTATTGTTATGATAAACTAGAGATAAGTAGTGATAGGTTTCATATAGTAACATTTTAAATAGTCCATTAAATAACTTGCTGTCTCTAGTTTCGCTTTAATAAAGTAAATGACTATGACACATTGGTTATTTAACCAATTACACATTCATAACTAGGAATTAGCATACAAAAAGTGTATACATATTTATAGAAACTTCGAAAAAGTGATTCATATAGAGTGAAAAATACCAGATGTTTGATAATAATAACAACGTACACACACCCTGTGTCGCGGGTGCCATGGACACACACATTAATTATATTGTATTTTATTCTACATTATTGAAACGTATCTAGCAAATACTTTACTACGGTAGTGTATTTAAATCAAAACTTTTGACATTTGAGGTAATAATATTACTGTTTTGTTTGTCTTTCTTTTATTTATAATTATATCGTGATTTCGTTGGGATTTTGGACTCTATATACAGTCAAAAGCACATCAAACTATTCAAATCTGGTCGAATATCGCCTTCAATGCAACGGAACAAGATCCTTCAATGTGTAGCTTGATGTGTTGCCGTCTGTACATTACTTGCAGCTTAGGTAAATGTAGTCTGCCCATTTCGAACTCTGGTAATAACTTTGACGTCAAAGAGACTGGCGTACAAAACTCTAGAAGAGTCCCGTGCTCAACGGTGTCATATTAATACAGTTGTAATAAAGACTCAAGTATATATATAAACAAATAACAAAAGCAAACAAATTTTGTTCAACACAACATACTCAAGGACTTTACTAAACTCCACTAACTCTAAAAACATCCTTATCATTCTCTATTTCCCACGCTCATTTTATGAAACGATGATTTACGAATGATTTATGAAAACTTGAAATTAAAGAATAATTTTATTGCAAGAAGTGTTATTTCATAACTATAAGAGTTATTTAGTAATAGGTTAGTACAATGTCTCATAAACCAGTTGCTGATGCTGACAATGAATGAACATGACGTTAACCCAAAAGATATCGATTATCTTTGCCCTTCCAAAAATGTAGATTTGTTGACATTTGTGCTACCACAGATGAGATCACCCGTTTTAAATAATTGTGTTTACCTTCTTCAAAAGTAGCACAGATTTCGTGTCGCGTTACGTTCACACGCAAATAGGAATACTACTAGACTACCCGACGACTCGCAAAGTTGTTTATATCAACCCCCAGAGGACCAAACTTAAAAGGGTCCATGTCAGCGAAAAAAAAATGGGGGTGCATGAGACGTCAATGGGGGTCTACGAGAATGGAATCCATTTAAGCAAGTCGTGACCAAAACAATCCACATTCCACACATTAGTATCTATGCAAATACGTAATACTTTATTATAAAACACCAATATAAATTACCTATGACGTACTTAAATATTAACTACAATTTTTTTTTAAATTTTCTCACTAACACTGTCAGCTGTCGAACTCATATTTGAAGTGAATTAATTTGAATTTGAATTGATTTTTAATTTGAAACAATATAATGTAACACATATAACATGTCGTAATAAAATTAAGTTATTCAATGCCAGGATTTTTCACCACCATGATATTCAATTATTTTTTGTAAAATTACTCAACTATAACAAAGATTGAACACTTAGAAAAAAATCCTTCGATTGGTAAAGGTACTTACTTGACTGTGTGAAGAAATTGGTTTCTCACAGAATAGATGGCTCTAAGGCAATTTGCTTCCTTCCTTAAAAACCAATACAAAGGTCTACAACAAGCACATTGAAAAATTCGTAAGGTCCACTGGTTCGTAGCGTTGCTTAGTGTTCGTCTTAATAATTATATAATAAAATCATTTGTAATTCCAAAACTATTACCGAAAACCGGTTCAATGTCTATAGATTACAATGTATAGAAATGTGCACAAAGATACGCGCTAACCCTTCTACCAAACACGTCATCTCGTGTAAGCCTTCTCCATTTCGTCGTGATTAAAGATTTTAAATGTGGTAATTGACTAAAATAATTAGGGTGAATTAACCTAATGCAATGACGTCATTTGTCACCTGAATCCTGATTAAAGAAAATGGATTTTGAAATGTAACAAGACAAGTATAAAGTAGTAACTTTAGGCGTAGGACTAAAATTTCTACGCAGACATAAGGGAAGAGCAACTGTTTCACATTTAAATCTACAAAATTAACGTTTGATGATGATGACGAAACTCAACTATCCTTGTAATGTACATTCATTTAGGGATTTTTAGAGCTACTGTCTGTCAAAAACTAGCTCATTTATTAATGTTTTAATTATTGTCGAAGTACAACATTCGTTATTTCTGTTACAGTTTGGATAAGAAGACCAAAGAAGCAGCGCAAGCGGAAAGCATGGCGCGGCACTACGAAACCCGCTTCAATGAGGAGAGCAACAAATACAACACCGCGCTTGCCGACAAGAAGAAGGCACAAGATGAAGCCAGGGTATGTTGGCTGACCATCGAATTCCGTATACAGTAAATGTTATTATCATCGTGATTTGGCTTTCCACGGCCTCGATAAGGATATCGGTCCACATAGAAAATATTTTTTTTAAAACAAGGCAACACACAATTTCGGAATTCAGACTGGCCCTCGAGAATCTTAGAGTGAGCAAACGCGATGTAATCGTTACCGTCTACATTTACACACGCGCTCGATTTTAAGCAGCGATGTAAACGCGCGACTGCATCGATACAAACGCGCGATACAATCGCATGTGTAGCGATGCAATTACGCATGTCACGAACTCGCGTTTGCATCACTGCTAAAAGACGACGTGTGCAAACCACTCTTAGTGTCCAGCTACGCGATAAAACAAACTTCACTGCTAGTCAATACTACCTTGCATGCATATACACGTTTGTAACATATACACGCTTGGGCAATCCCAAGCCATGCCATTTTTAAACATATTTTATGCTTACTATGCCAGAGAAAGCACAACCCTTGCACGCATATACAAACGCGTATGTATATTGAACAAGAAGCTCGCTCGATCAGACCTTGTGAGAAAAACCAAAGCTAAATATGGTATGGATCGCACTCAACGATGGTTAGGCACGTCTTTCTCTATTTGTCTGCCAGTTCTACATGCTGTGCGTTTTTACATTCACAACACTTTGTACATTATGGCATACTACACTTTGCAAGCTCTGTAATCCCATACCCCATGACAGTAAATACAGTAATTTTTTCAAAGGTAACTTCGATTATAAAACAAACAATGCGTTACCCAATCAAATGTGTCATGTTTAATACGGAACGTTTCTTCCTGGCAAACCGTTCAATTGTTCGTAACTTTATTTTTTGCATGCAGGAACTGGCCAAAGAACTGGAAAAATTGAAGAAAGTGTATGCTGACACCCGTAAGACCCTAGAAGAGGAGATGCTGTGCCGCATCGATATGGAGAACACTGTGCAGAGTTTGCGCGAAGAGCTGTCCTTCAAGGACCAGGTCTTCCAACAGGAGCTGCAGGAGACCCGCACCAGAAGACAAGTCGAAATTTCTGAAATCGGTCAGTACTCTTCAAAGAATATGTTCTGAAAACTTTTATGTTACTTTGTATATATTTAAAAGTTGTATATGTCTATGGGATAATTAAGAAGACTGCCTGTAACTCTCCCTGTAAATTGCTTTACGTAATTTACAACGTGACTGCCTGCAAACTATGGTGATTATGACAAATCTTCGCTTTCAAGAAGTTTACTTCATTTTTTTATAACCGGGAGGAATATTTGTATGGCCTACATTTATTTCTCTCGTGAGTTTGGGTGTAATTTGTAGTTGTCTATGTGTGTGTCCATGGCACCCGCGACACAGGGTTTCCCTAGTGCGGGGCTATGTTGAGTGTGTGCGTTATTATAAAAAAAAAAAAAATTATTGTAAAATATTGGTGATTGGACCAGTATTATATGAATGGAGTAATTTTAAATGAATACTTTACTATTAGAGAATTCTTACTGCTACAATATATTCGAAGGAAAGATATCGTACTATCCTTATCGCCCATTTTCCTGTTTCGCGCTTAGCTTACGTATCAAAATGAATTGTTATAAAATTAGAACAGGATGGGAAAAGACCTATTCAAACATCCACTTTACGAAAAGTGACTGTCAACATCTATAAATCTATTGCCCATGCAATATTAAGGGTGCAACCTACAGGAGTTAACCTGAGAAATTGCTCGGATGTGCTCCCGACCATCACTGGACCTCGTAATCACTAAGGAAACTATTTTAATTAGCAAAAATACATTATAATTTTTTTAAAACTCACTATGTTTCTGTACACAGAACTTTAGTGAAATTTTTCAGTTCAGTAGCAAGTGCCATAGACAATAAAATTTTGATTCAAAACTAAAAAGAGCGCCTTTGTCATGGTTATGAAATTATAATTGAAAGTACAGGAGTAAAAAAATATGTTAAAAAAATATACAGTCAAATTGAAAACCTCCTCTTTTTTAAAGTCGATTAAAATCAACACTGTCTTCGCAGATGGTCGCCTGGCTCAGCAATATGAAGCCAAGCTCCAGCAGAGTCTACAAGAGCTCCGTGAACAGCAGGAAGCAAACATCAAAGCAAATCGTGATGAGATTGAAGCCCTCTATGAGAATAAGGTATAGCTATATTTACTCTTTTTCTCGTTCACTGATAGATTTCCGAGTGTGAATTGTTCAATTTAACTAGAACTTGTATTCTAAGTGATTTGGCACTGAGTAGAGTTTTTTAAGGTTATGTAGGAATGTATATTTCCCAACTGTAATAGTACATTTACAGAACATATTTTTAATTAAATTTAACATTTATAATTAAAAATAAAAATGTCATATTTCTTATACGATATTAACATAGATACATGCATAAATTCACGCCCTAACCCCTCAGGAGGGGTAGGCATAGCCCACGGAAAGTCACTTTGCTCTATCCTGACACATCTCTCGAGCCTCACATATATCAACTACCCTTTTCATACAACTTCTTTTATTCTTGTCAATTCGGATCCCAGCCTTTTTGAGGACATCACTGATCTGATCTATGTAAGTCCTTCTGGGACATTCTCTTAAAACCCTTCCATCCACATTCGCATCATAAACCTGTTTGGTAATTCTTCTTACATCCATCCGCTCTACATGCCCAAACCACCTTAACATTCCTTTCTCTATTCTAGTCACTACATCCGCTTTCAAGCCACATCTTTCACGTATTATTGTACAAATAATATCTTCACTCTATCACTCAATTTTATTCCACAAATTTTCCTCAACAATCTCATTTTAACTGCATTAATTCTACTTTCATGCTTCTTCTGCCATACCCAACTCTCACCACCAAACGTCAGTGTGGGAACCAGCAAAGCACATGTGTGTTTTTGGATAAGATGTTGCTCCCCATTACACCATTTATGGCTCCATTTACTCTGTTTCCCTTTCGTACCCTTCTTTCAATGTCCTCATCAAACTTTCCATCTCTTGTAAACACACTACCCAGATACACAAACTCATTCACTTGATCAATATTCGTACCTTGTATTTTAATCTTGCATACCGTCACGTTCTCATTTGTTTCAAAAACCATCACTACAGTGATTTCAGTGCGCGTATCAAATGGCTCCCCACTCCGAATGCGGACAACATAAGCCTTCTCCAGATCCACAAATGCACAAAACACTTTCTGGTGCTTTGCCAGAAACTTCTCCGTAATGCACCTTAAGGAGAAGACTTGGTCCGTACATCCCATTCCCTTCCTAAATCCCGCTTGTACATCCCATATTTTCTCATTCGTCTCTTTCAAAACTATGGCATTAAAATACAAATAATTCAAAATTATCTATTATTTGTATAGATGTGCTCAGAATAATTTATTATTGTTCGCTGGAGATGCGCGATTGATATCTATGTGACACAAAATAAAATTCTAACCGTTATTATATCTTTTTTAAAGCGAACACCAAAGTTTGAATGTAATTAATATTAACCTTTATATTCAACAGATGAAGAATCTGCACGCGGCGGCAAATCGTCACAACAGCGCGGCCACAGTGGCGGTGGAGGAGCTGCGCACCATGCGCACGCGCATTGACACCCTCAACACGCAACTCAATGACCTAGAGAATAAGAACGCCGCGCTCAATGTAAATAGTATCTTATTATTTTTGCTTTAGAACCATCGGCGCATTACATATCCATTACCATAGACAGTTATTAAATATATAAAGATTAAATCTAGGAAATGGACAACAGTGTCCCTTGTGTGTAATCTTACGGCGACATCCCACTTGCCAACGAGACTGAAACTGAAATTTTTTTAACTTTTTTAAAGATCTCTAGGGAACTTTATAAAGCCATCAGATATATTATAGATAGATGTGCCTAGCAAGTTTTTACAATAAAGTGAAATATTGAATGTAAACAGTAACATTTTCTTCCATCTGAACAGAACCGCTGTCGTGAACTCGAGCGTCAACTGGAGTCCGAGCGCGCTCGCCACGCCGAAGACTTGGCCTCGTTGGAACAGGAGCTTGCGCGTCTCCGAGACGAAATGGCCTCGCAGCTTCGTGAATATGCCACACTTATGGATATCAAGATTTCACTTGACCATGAGATCGCTACCTACCGCGCGCTTCTTGAGGGTGAAGAAGACAGGTAATCTGTTAACTTCTATCGTTATGGTACTTTTTAAGAATCTTCAATGTGCGGTAAGAATAGTATTGTGTTTCAGAGCATTTGAATATTTTTTTGGAATATATTAATATCAAGTGACGAGACGAACAAGTCGTGCGGCTAATGGTACACGCCAGTCCATAACAGTTGCAGTGCCACTCGGAGCTTTTAATCGCAAGAGCTAAGGGGCACTGCCACTGCGCCCGTCACCCTGAAGCGTAAGTTGACAAGTCTCATGTGCCTGTATTTCACCAGCACCCTTACCCTTCAAAACCGGAACACAGTAATGCTGACATTACTGCTTGGCGGCAGAAATAGGTAAGGTGGCAGTGCTACCTTTGACGAACTCTTTCACAAAGAACTCTACTGCTATTATATGTAACGTAAACAACATTATTATCGAGCATTCTTTCGCTAGTTAGTTCGCTAGCTTGTAAAACAATCTTCTGTATACTACAAAGTAATGTTCTTTTTACATTTATACTCTCGTTGAGTTACAATACTAGAAATGCTCGTTAACTCGTCGTTAGCAGTAAAGCTCCTTGTGACAGAATTCGTCCAGGTGAGTACTGCCCCCTTACCTATTTCTACCGCCAAGCAGTAATGTGAGCATTGGTGCATTCCGATTTTGAAAGGCACCAGCACCCTTAGCATTATTCTCATGTGACATTACAGGCACATGTGACTTGTCAACTTATGTCTCAGGGTAACGGGCGCAGTAGCAGTGCAACTATTATGGACAAGCGTGTTGCTTACCATCAGGCGCACGACTTGTTCGTCCCATCACTTGATATTATAAAAAAAAGACAAAACTGACTTTGTCATTGGTCTCCTGACAGGCTGAACCTGACTTCCCAATCTCCTGGACGTTCGGAGTCCCGCGCCTCAGCAACCGCTTCAGGCAGCGCGGGCCGTATCACGCCGGGTCGTCGCGCAACGCCCCTCCGCGCCGCCCGTAAACGCACCTTGCTCGACGAGAGCGAGGAGCGCAGCCTCAGCGACTATAGCGTCACCTCCAGTGCTAAGGGAGACCTCGAAGTGGCCGAGGCATGCCCCGAAGGCTCCTTCGTTAAAATCCGCAACAAGGGCAAGAAGGTAAGCACGAAGCAACGCAAGAAGTAAATAGTTTAGTAACACTTGAGAAAGTGCCAACTATTACCGTTAGTTCGGGTCATGATTTTTTAAAAACCTCTCGGACTACATAAAACTTGAAAGTTATTTATTGCATTACAAAATTGATGTATATGACACTTTTTACCTACACACAGGAATTAAGCCTGGGAGGCTTCCAAATTCTTCGCAAAGCTGGCGATCAGGAGACAATCTTCAAGTTCCACCGTACCGTGAAATTGGAACCAGGCGCGATCACCACAGTGTGGTCCGCCGATGTGGGTGCTGACCACGACCCCCCTACTAGCATCGTCATGAAAGGGCAGAAGTGGTTCGTTGGCGATAACTTCACCACTACACTGCTTAACAACGACGGAGAGGTACGTATATATTGGCTAAATGTACCTTTGTTGTCTAGCTTGAAAAGTCCCCTTGCTGGGTAAAGGCTTCTGTATCTTCCTCTATGACGCTCCTGGCTCATCAAACTTATCCAATTATGTTATCTATACATTTTTGCCAACTCTTAAAACGAATTATTTATTTATTGTTTTAAAAATTACTTTTTCTTATCGAGTTCTTAGGTTTTCGCGATTTTTGCACATAAGAAATGAAACTATTTTTCCGGATTTAAATCGCGTATATTTGTTTGTTTTTCAAACAAACCAACGTTTCAGGCCCTTTATAGATCCCTTTAAACCGGTTACTTTTTCTTCTGTACCGCATTAAGTAGAGTTCCGTTAGGTTATGACTGCTTGCTTGATAGCGCTATTCAAATTTTACGGAAATAGGCGAATATGATTATTTAAAAACTCTTTCTTCCTTCCCATAAAACATGCCTAAAAATATTAATGATATAAGATTAATAATTAATTGATGAACAAATTCGGTTCGATTGATATGTTACATTTTCAATAAAAACTTCAGAGCGTGACTTACCCAATATTAACTTTTTTAAAGTGTTAAGGTAAACTTTTAATAGCCAAAGTGATAGGTGAGAAAATTATATCTAATATATTAGAATATATATATATATATATAGGTTAACAATGCAATATCATAATAATATCAAGAAAATTTATACCTAACGCAGCAAACTTTACATTGTCTTAAAATCATGACTTGAAGAAATAATTTAAAATGAAATAGATTCACAGTACAATCGTCAACTTCCGTAAAACTCGAATAGCAGGACTTGAAAAAATAATATTGACAATATTTGTCATGGTGTCATTCAAAATTCAAACCAAATACTGTCGTAACTTAAGATTGTGGAATTGAGAAAACACATTATCGTATTGCGAATAATGTGATTATTTTTATTAATACTTAATTATCTATTTATAAATGAGAATATATGTATAATATATTAGTTTCATTTACTTTTTTTATTGTTTTCAAATCGTATGTACAAGTTTAAAAACGGTGAGTTCATTAGAACTATGAATTTAGTAGCATACGAGTTTATCAATTTATTAAATTTAAAAAATCACTCATGAGTAACTATTTTTTTCTTAATATCGTATATTTTCTTGTATTCCTCACCCGATATTTTTATAGAGGTTTTAAATTCAATTTACGTGAATTGACTGTCATATATGTATATACCTTGGCACGAAACCTATAACTAGAGGTTATAATGTATTTTTTTAGTGAATAATTACGGAAGGATTAAAATCTTAACATATTTGTTTTAATTTTAGGAGGTGGCCGTGTCGGAGCGTCAGAGACGGCAGGTCAGCACCAGCGCACAACGACACCGCGAACTTTCACACAAGTACCCGCGCCGTGAGGTATGTACTTTTTATCTGATCGTGGAGGTGGCAAAATAAAGCCATAACGTGTGTAGTTCTATTGTATGAGTTACGAACTTAAGACCTTATATTAAATTTCTGTAGGTGAGAAGTAAAAAACGTTAAGTGCCATACATTATTTTTTTGCTACAGATTATTTTAAAAAGAATGTGGCGGCACTTAATTTAGGTATTTAAAATCAACCTCATATAAAAAAACACGACGACAGGACTTGATGTCATTTATTTACCTTTGAATGATTTTTAGCATTCTAAAGCAAAGTTTGCAATTACATTTAAATTCGTAATATCTCTCAACTACAGTTTTAATCGGTTTTAAATAAATCTTCCTTGTGTTAAAACAAGATTGCATGCGAGGATGAGACCTTCTTTTTATTGTCTGTCTTTTTTTTGAAGACGGAGTAAAATGACTTGCAGTGAAATTTTAACAAGAACAGGCGGATTTGATTATCTATATTGAATTAAAATGTCAAACTTTAAAACATGTCTCCTTTTTGTGTTTTTAATGGACATAGTTATATTTATAACTATGTCCATTAAACGCAACTGTAAGCAGCGTGCGTATGTGTGAACTAAAATTTACAATTCAAATTAACTTATGCCCAACAGTTGTACGAAAAATGGGCCAATGATGATTCGAATGAAACAGGTTTGGCTATTTATTCGACATTCGATAGACTATTTATTATTACTTGCAAGCGGGCAACACTAGTGCAAAGAACTGTATTTTACTCCATCTTCAAAAAAGACATACTATAGCATTGAAATATGAAATACTTCAACAGGTCTCGATTAGGCCAAAAAAATCAATAACATGTATTTACCTAAATAACTAAAAATAAATATTATTGATTCCACAGCTTGGCGAAATCCGCGAAGGTGAAGAGAATTGCCGCATCATGTAGAGCGTGGTACATCTCACTCGGTACCTCCCGCTTCACTCCGTCGGAGCTCTCACTCTGCCCCATGGGCAACATACCTCCCACCCTACTAGTGTTACATGTGTATCATTCATGATCAATACAGAGTTCTAATTCAGTATAACTTCCCCGTATTAGTCATATATTGTTAACTTAAGGTTCGATCATGGGAAAAGTTATAGTGAATATACCTAACGACCGACTGTTAAAGTACGTCTAATACGTGTTTACAAAATAAATGTAACTTGATGCATACCACGAGGTGTTTAAATAAATCTGTAGTGTAATAATTAGCGAAAAGTGGTCTCACTGTGTGCTGTTATAGTCGAAATTCATTCTGTATTGATCACGAGATATCGTTTAGCAAAGCCTAATATTATGCAATTTAAACAACAAAATCTGAATTAATAAAAAGTTATGGGAGATACTTTGTTACAATGTCGTTAATGATCGACTATATATATTTTTACAATAGTAAATAAGTACCATGATGCCTTCAACAGAGATATCTTGCAAAATGATCATGTGTGAAACTAGCTATGTATTTATATGGTGTGGTATGCTTCAGTATTTTTAATCGAATGTTATTTTTTTCCTTGAGAATTCACTTATAATTTATCTGAAAAACTGCGCCATGAAGATAGTCACTGATGGCGTGGATGCTACTTCTTTTTTTAAATGAAACAAAATAATTACACGTTAAAATGTAAGCTCAAAACAAGAATACCGTGTTCTTATCATATCGATGGCATATATTAGTGCGGTCCAGAACTTAGTAAGGCTTTAGTTTCGTCCTCGTATAATACCGCTGAGACATCTGACAGTACGTGCATTCCTACGTACTCTCTCAAATTTGTAGCCACATACAGTAATAGTTAGTTAAGTAGTAGTAGAGCCTCCTTGTGAAAGAGTTCGTCCATGGAAGCACTGCCACCTGAACTATTTCTGCCGCCAAGTAGTAATGTGAGCATTATTGCGTTCCAGTTTTGAAGGGTTGGGGTGCTGGTGAAATTACAGGCACATGGGACTTGTCAACTTATGTCTCAGGGTGATGGCGCAGTTGCAATGCCCCTCCGGTCTTTGCGGTATAAAACTACAAGTGGCACTGCAACTGTTCTGAAAAGGCGTGTCGCTCAACACCAGGCTCACGACTTGTTCGTCCCGTCACTTGGTATTATAAAAAAAATGTTTTATTTACAGACTTCACATATTTACAATTATAATACTAGATGCTGTTATAAACAACTTAGTTAGAGTGATAAGTTGACACAGTTGTTTAGTCATTTTCTCTTTATACCTTGTATATGAGTGTAGTCATTTTGAGCTTTCATTTTATTATTTATCGTATTATGAAATGAAAGTGTAAGAGGTAGTTTTCAATCCATCACTTATTTAGTAATTTGTTAGATACAATTTTCGTCTCACTGCCAAACGCGGCTTACCCTTTACGCACCACTGTGAACAAAGTACAAAACATTTTCGTTCACATTAAGGTAAGTATAGATTTATTGAATTTTTAATATAAGCTCCCACCACTAATGTTGCACTAGATGGTAAGTGATTTTTTATCGATAATCATTAATACATCCACTTAACATCTGGAGTAGATAAAATCTACTAAATAATCGTATTGTTAGTACATCTGACTAGAGAAATCATTGTGTTTAGGTTAAGTTTCAGTTTGACAACTACTTCTAGTTGTCAGGTTAGTGTAAGTCCACTTTTCATTTCTCGAATGTTTTTCGAGAAACAGGTGCAAGTCTCAAATGATGTGCGTTTACAGCAAACAATACTAGACTGCATTTATTACATTGAATTTTGTTTAATATAGTTTTATACTTGGTTTATAGTAGAACATTAAAAAGTATAACTATAATATGTATTCAAAATATACTAAAGGTAATTCACATGTCGTAGGTATCTTTCTGTTATTTTATATTGATCACTAAGAGGATTGAATCTGATTTTAATTTTCCATTTTTTTATTTTACACAATGTAAAGGCGGTTAATCATGAAAATTTTAATTTGGACCCAGTTATTTCTTCCATATGTAAAGTGAATACTTATTACGTAAAATAAATAGTATATTTAGGTTTATTTGTCCTTTTATTCAATTCCTTTCTCAAGAATAAGTTACATACGTAGTTAGATAGTGCTAACAACATACCATTAAACTGGCAGCAGCCTCGTGGTGTTTGATTTAGTTCACCGTAATAAAGGATGTATACGCATGTACTGAGGGGCCACGTGGTCCATTTGCATAATACAGTACTGCAAATAGTATTATAAACACCAATTTTGTAAAGAAAGAACAGTACTAATGTCTATCAAACCTCAAGGGACCTACGAAATCTGAGGCAAAAAATTTCACACTGTTATGTTCAGAATTTTACTAGATATCTGTGGCTTGTTACAGGAAGTGCCTAAGTACCTATTACTTTGACGTACTTGTTGTTTGAAGCTACAGATATACTTAAATATTTTTACGTTATAATTCTAACAGAACATTGTTTACACTTACACTGTCAACCACGCCACGTGCCAATCATTGGAATAAATAATGAAACCATTTTATTTTTCTACCAATTTTACTAAAAGATATATGGAATTTTATAAAGAACACAAACAGGACACGCTTTGGAACAGTCATAATTTAATTGTGATCTCCCAGTTCGCACGGGTTATAACATGGTTATAAATCATTTGTGAAATAAAAACTATAAGATTAAAAATACTTTTTTCTTCTACGTTTTTCAATCGATGGAATGTTTAATTACATAAAACGTTTTCGATTAAATATTTAGCAGAAAATTATTAAGAATAACCCCATGAGGTTAATGCAGTGAGCACCACGACAAAATATTTACAAATTAAAAAATAAACTATTTAAATTGTTTTTAGTAACAAATAACTACATTGTATTTATTACTAAAATACGATACGCATCCGGTTGTGATGATGGTGGCGAAGTGATGCATAAAGTTGGAAGACCACAGAAACAGTCGCTTCACGCCCAATGACGTGGATGTCCTCAAGAATCAATTATAAGCTTGATAAAAAATATACAATTTATAAATTACTATTCGATTTTGGGAAGTTTCAAATCTGCACCATCTTCGGTTTATTCGTCGGTATGATACCGGAGATAATGAAATGAGGAGAATGATGTTACGGTGTGAAGGCCAACAGAAGAAAAATATAGTCACCCGAAAGCTATATGCAAGAAACCTTTGCTGTGTATCTCCTTGACATTATGAAGTGTTATAAATAGTATGTAGGGGAAGGTCGGGCAAAATGGATACCTTAAGGTATTTAAGGTTA